CTTTCCACACCGGTGACTGAGGCTGCGCCGGCCGAGGTTACGACAGAGTTTGAAGATGATCCCGCCATCACCAAGGAGACACTGGCTTCGCAGCTCCATGAGATGGAGAAAGTGATGGAAAACTTGGGCTTGGAACCCAAGCCGGAGACAGGTGTGGCAGCGTCAAGTGTGAAACCTCCGTCGGGGTTCGTCCAGGCTGAGGCACCGACTCCAGCTCAGACACCACAGACCTTAGAGAAGGACTACAACAAGTGGGCGGACGAACTCACCCACCCGAACTTCACTGGTTTTCATCCTGATCGACAACTACCAGTGAGTGAAGCTTTTTCTCATTTTAAATTTCTCTGGGCTCTTCTGGATGACCAGATGAGTGTCCCCACTTTTTCAGGAAATTCAAAACGTCGTAAGACCGATTCTCACGCCACCTAAGGTCCTTCGGGAGCCAGGTGGTTGCGGCTGACTTTATGGTGTACAGTGGTGTTTTCCCACCTACAACCCCTCTTTTTCCCTTCTTACTTGCGCGAGCTTCACGCTCCGGCGGGTTGGGTGGATTTTGACGTGTGACACCACCACTGCAGTTCAGAGTTTCTGTGAAACCATTTGTGATAGATGCGATTGGCATCTGACAGAGACACAGCCGCAAAACCAACTGCATAACAAAAGGTGCTGACTGATCGGTGCAGTTGCTTTGTTCCGTTTCTGTCATTTTCAATTCTATTCGGGAACACTATATTATATTATATTATATTATATTATTATATTATATATATTATATTATATTATGTTTTATTATATTATATTATATTATATTATATTACGTTATATTATATTATACCCCAGTTATATTTAGGCTAGTTTATATGATATATGTATATCTATCTATCTGTGGCCTATACATGTGTTATATAGGTTTTTTTTGCTCACTTCCTATTTGGACGCACATCCCATTGAGAATGGCCCAGCTCTTGAGCCAGGTGATGTGTTATTTTTGTGATGAGAAAACCACCATTTGGGGAGTCTATAGTTTTCTTTTCTGGTGAGTGGGTTCCTTAAGCAAATCCAAGTATATGGTGGTGCCAATAAATGATAGTACATGCTTGCTAAGTTGGTTTGTACTTGGTTTGAACCTGGTTTGTACATGTTGCTACTTTTCACAAGGTTTATGGATGTTTACTGGTTTATCTATATCTATATAAGCCATAGTGATATAAGTATCATATTATATAATGTTATATAGTAGTATCAAGTTATATCAACAATGGTTATATCTTAAGTAATATTGTTGTATAAACCCAACCCCATAAACCTTCGTTGACCCACTTTTGAATGGATCGGGCCATTGTTAGGTTTTCTCAGTCCACACTGCTAAGCTTGAGGAGGAACCAGAGTCTCTTCGACTTAAGAAACCATGTGAAGGGAAATCACCAGTTGAGGATGATAGTCGTGACCACCTATGAAATTGGTGATAGGGATGGGATATCGGTGGATTTACCAGAATTTACCACTCCAAAAACATGTTGCTTTAGCATGCTTTAGCCACATCACTGGGTTGCGTTCTTCAAGCGATTTGTTATATATAATGATGTGTTTACTGTGTTGACCTTAAAAACTTGAAGATTTGGACGATTTGAAGATTCGAGTACAATCATTTGGGCAACTCGAATCTTAAGGTGCTGTGAGTTGGGTATCCAAAAATTGCTGATTTGGATGGACGGGCGGCCAAAAAACCCTAAAAAACCCATGGTCTTCCTGGGAAGTTGATCCAAAAGTGCAGGAGGGTAACACCCATTGCAGTAACTAGCCGCTATGGGATGTTAGGGTAGAGGGGTTTTGAGCCATGACTTCCATGTATTTTTATATGTACAATATATATATATATATATATATAATATATATATATATATATATCGCTATACATGAAGCGACAAAGAGTATGTACAATGTACAACTACATGAACTATCATGAACTACATCTGTACTCTTCTTAATATTACCCTCTGGTAAACAGCCACAAAAAACGATGGAAAGATCCACCATTTTCAATAGCTATGTCAGTCATTACCAGAGGGTATCCCCGAGGGCCGAAGATGATGTGCCGCCAGAGCCGGAAGTTGAGTGTTGCTTGGCTTCGGAACATGGGAACATGGGAGCAGCGCAAGTGAAATAACCAGCTGCGATGCACAGTTGACTCTTAGTTGATTCATTTATATAGTCTTTTACTATCTTTTACTGGTTCAATGTTCCTTTTTTGTTGTCAAAATTGTCAATGATATTGTGAACATATTTTTGTCTTTTAAGTACATCATAGGATGATACAAACTGGGACGGGATTGCTGTATTTTTTTTTTCAGATCCAGTAGTCCCTGCGGGATCCCCTTCGGGGAAACAGCAACATCATGATCCAACCAATGATTGGTTTAAAACGATTACACGGCAATGTCTACAGGAGGGAAAAAAAACCCAAGGGTATCATGAATCTATCGTTGATTGCACCCAGCTATAGGGTATGGTTCTCAGTTGGGTATAGAGTGCTATGAACCCAGCCTGCTCGGTATCCCATTCTCAACCAGCGTTTCATCGGAAAACTGGGTATTTTTTTCCTGGCTCAACTAGTTTTAGGGTTTTCATGTTCAGGAAGAAAATGAACCTGGTTGATTGTAGGACTTTGTGGTAGCACCAAAATCTTGTTCGTTTGATGAGTGGCTCAGTCGTTGTTTGCTTGGGCGGAAACTCTGCCATTTCAAAAAAAAACATAGGTCCGGTTCACTTTCGTAAAACCAGCCAAGGGTCAGCACAACTTCATGTTTTGCCATTTTTGTGCATTTTTTTGTGTCATTTGTGTGCCATGTCGAATGCCTCAAAGGTGGTGGTGCAAAGGTTCATTGGAAGACTTGCGGCACCAAGACGGGCTGCAAATACGTGAAGAAGGTGGGACGTTTTCGGGGACGTTTTCTGGGGACTGAAATGAGACATTTAGAAAGAAAGAAAGAAAGATGCAGAGCAAAATCCAATCCTAAGATATCCCAAGATATCCCACGATCCTAAATTTTGTCCGAACATATGACATTTCGACTGTATCTTTTGCGGGGGTTAATTGTTCTGGCAACGTGACTCAGCGATGTTTTTCATCTAGGCGTTTCACAACATTGGCCCAAAACCATTAGGTTTTCCCATGCGAAACCAGCGCAATGATTTGCAGAAGCGGCTGGTAGTACCATGAAAATAGCACATGATGAGCACCTGCTATTTGAAGCCGTCAAATTAGTACTAATTAGCATCGTTTACACAGACACACACAGAAAACATATCCCATTCTTGGATCACTATATCCCATTATGAGTTATTTTTATATATCCCTTTGTATCTCATTCTATCATTTTATATCCCATAGCATGTTCCCATTAGAAAATCCCATTCTGTGAACATTACATTTGATCCCGTTGTATCCCAGGATATCCCAGGCTTCTCGTAGTATATTCTCATTATATTACCGATTCTTCTATCTATCCCAGATAAATTAGTGAAGAATGGGATATAATGAGATCTACTACTGGGATATTAGTTCAATGTTAGTGAACACTCAGTAAATCTAACTGGTTTCTCCATCATATTCTCATGGTCTCTGCCAATCCAGTGGTTTCAGGCAGATGCCTCGGGCTGCGGAGTCGAGGTTTGGGGCTGCTACGATGAGACGAAGATCAGTTGCTAAGGCCGGCCCTGGGCACAGACAGCTGGCGATCTCGTGACTTCATAGTGGGATGGGTCCTCAGTTTAAGTTGGGCCATTTTTTCATGGGTCAAAATGGTCACATGTCAAAACCCTGTCCCTAACCCTGCATTTGTTTGAGCGATTCATGGATATGGATGTTCATCCCCCTAAAATAGCATGCTATTTATAGGTATTGATCCATAGCCTTATGGCCATTTGAAGTGCGGCGATTTGAATAGATTTGATAACCAGATTTTAGGCAATATGATGTACCACACTGCAGTCTCTTTTTGCTCCGCTTCTTTGCAAACATGTTCCATGAGTCAAGCGAAGATCCCAAATAATATTTGGTGAAGATGGGGTACATGGTACACCCCACATGCACTCGTTCATTCCAGTTCATTTTACCTCTGATGTTGTACGATTTGTGATAAAAAAAGGGGTATAGTGGGTATACCTAAAATTCAGACAAAACCATGAATCATAATTGTTGGTGATATTTTTTCTTCCACAAGCACACTGATCCTTTCCGGTGCGGCTCGCCTCAACGAATTCAGATCGGCTAGCACGGTCGCGCATAGGGTGATATTTATATATATATATATCTCCCATTCTCCCCATGATATCCCCATCTGTTGCTTAAATCCCCATAAGAGATAATATATATATATATATATAATCCCTGGTGGCTTAAAATCACCGTTCCTCCAATGTTTCATGGTCAAAGTCCCATTGTGCTTGGTGAAACCTCCATCGCTGTGGTCCAGGCATTGGCAGCCAGCGGCACGAGAGGAAAAGATGCGAAGTGCAGCGGAACCAGCTCTCTTTAAAAAATGCCGGTGGTTCCACAGGAATCTGAAGTGGGTGAAGTAGACATGTACCCTCTGGTAATTTTTCACATAACTATGGAACATTACCATTTATACTGAATTTTCCCATGAATAGCATGGTGGATCTTACCATAGTTATGGAACAAATTACCAGAGGGTAGACATAAGTAGAGATGATGTGCCTATGATGTGCCTTTTGGGGTAATGGGACAACACAAATCCCAATTTTTGGGCTTCAGATCAGGCCAGTCACCAATCACCAACGGTCAGATGGGTCGGGTGAACCCCATGGAATTCTACGCTTTTAAGCGGTACAGTAACCTCCAATTCGTCCATAATGCATAAGAGTACCCTCTGGTAAATTAACATAGACCCTGGCAGAAAACGGGGTTGGAAGACTAGCGAAACCATTAAAAATGGGTCATAAAATCAGGGTCCAACGGTTTATTTACCAGAGGGTATCTCCCAAAAAAGTAAACCTGGTTTAGTATCGGATTCACTGAATTTCATGCAGCCGACTGACTCTCAAACCTCTCAGCCTGCCGCATTCTGCGAACGTGACTCGACGAGAACATGACAATGACTCGAGGTGCGTCTGGCTGTTGTCACCGGGGTAAGCTGCCAGGGTTTCATCCCAAAGCTGTTTGCAAATGTGGTAGACCCAACATGACCCAACTAAACGATGTCCAATTGCACCAGTTTTTTTTGTGATATTTTCATGACTATATATGACTTTCATAATTTTTAATGGCAGGTGTTTTCTGTGCAGGTTTCACCCAGATCCAGTGATCTATCCTCACTACCGAGACAGCCATCCAGCGCGCCAGGTGTGTGCTTGGCCCTTCTCTTCTTGCCGTTGGTGGAGAGCACACGGAGCTATGCCAAGATGCAAGAGGTGGAAGAGCACACGGCCGAGAGTGCCGTGGCCAGTTGGGTTGGTTCCATGTCCATGGTTAAGATAGGTGGGCTTCCATTCCAAATTTCTGTCATGTAGTATGAATAGTATGATAATGTATCATATATGATGAATCATATGATGAATCATATGATCTTCATATTTATGACATTTTATGACTTTTTGCTCGACTTTGTGTTTTATTCCTACGTATACTTGACTCTTGTCACCCGCAAGGTGGCCACAAAACCCTCCATTTTGGGGGTGACACCTCGGCTCATTCTTTTCCCGGAGGATGACCCTAAGGGGCCCCCGAGGATTGGATGAGTTGTCTGCCTTTAGGACTCTTTATGTGATAGGTGAACACCTATCAATTCGAGGTTAGCTGGTTCATTTATAGACAATCGACCGAAATACATCTACTACAGCCTATTGCAAATGGTGATTTTCCATCTCAAACTGTGAAGACAAACCAGATGCCAATCAGGTTTATGGTCAATCATCTAAAATCGTGGTTATCCCATGGTTTGTCCAATAAAGAATTCCACATTGGCATATTATGGCGCCTGTCAATGGATTGGTTTTGTCGGGACAATCTCAACCGGAAACCATCGATTTTCCCATGAAGATCATGGGGGTTTTCCTTTGTTAAATTTTTCCTTTGAACCAATCCATTGAGAAAGATACAGGAAAAGCCTATTTTTCATGGTAAAAACCCATGGGTTTCCGGTAGATTTTCCCTTGAACCAATCCATGGGCTCCATGAAGATGAGGTCGTTCCGTGCCCAAAGTGATCTATGACTGCGCCAAGCCGGAGCTCTGGTGCAGACGCATGTGGAAAAGCTGGAGGCCGAGCTCGGACGGGTCGTCCAACGGGGGGTTGGGGGTCGTTCACCGAGAAATGGGGAAAAGATGTGGATCATGAAAGAAATCGATGGGAAAATCAACAAGAAAAATGGGAAAAACTATGAAACAAATGAAAGAAATCCATAAATTGTGAAGTTTTAATGGGAAAAACATATGGAAAAACTCACCAAACATGCCGGTGCAATGAGGATAGAATGGTCATATTCGATGGAATATTCGATGGAATGTTGGTTGACACCCTCTGGTGTCATCAAACATGCCAATTTTCACATTTTTTTGGAGGTTTGATGGGAAAATCATCGAACCAAATGGTAGACTTTCTACCAGCAAAAAATTGAGTACAGGAAGGTACCCTATTAGATTTGATCGCACATGTTAAAAGATGTTTCACGATATCTTGCTAGTATATATGTTTTTTTCTGTAACGATTTTCGATTTTAAATGTGGTTTTGTCTGAAATTCGGGTTTATCATACTGTATGTTTTCCCATTATATAAAACTGCGATTGGAGGGTTAAACCACCTCATTTTTATACATGTAATACACAACCATATTTTCTTCCATGTTAATATCCCCAAGATATTGCCTTTATTGAACGTAAAATTGTTCAAACACCCTCTTCAGACTGCCCACAGGAAAGCCAAGTTGGATTAGTTCACTAGTATTCCACTAGGGTTCTGGTGGATACAAGATATATCATATCATAGTATTCTATAGTTAATGTGGGCATTATAAATACCAACTCACTAGTTTTTTTGGGGGGTACCTCCTTACAGGGGCAATGTCCAGTTATGATTGGGGTGAACTAATCCGAGGATTCCGTGAACCAGCATGTGCTGTCCAGTAAACACACATAAAACATCATAAAACAGTGGAAATCCATGGGCTTTCCTTAGTTCACTATGGAATTCCATCTTATCCATTCTTATCCCATAGCTAAAATGATGGTCACATTCCATGTAATACGAAATTTTACCTTCCATACATTTCCATACTAGGATTGATAGTGGCTGGATTGATTTGAGGAACTTCTTCTACAGGAAACCCCTTTTTGTTGGGTTGAGAAAAGCAACTTTTCCTGTCGATTTGTCCCATTTTCCCGACTAAACCAATATACTGGTTGGTGGTTTGGAACATTTTTTATTTTCCATAACCCATAGGATCCATGTATGCTATATATGGTCCTGGTAACATTTACCATCAATATATCCCCAATGTTAGCATATATACCATACATGGATCCTATGGGTAATATATGGGATGTCATCCTTCCCAGTGACTTTAACTCCATGATTTTTCAGAGGGGTAGGTCAATTTTCATCAACCAGTCCATGATTATGCCAGAATTATCCCAGAATGATGGGTAAACTAAGCCTACCTAACTCCCCATGAAACACCGCAACACCTCCTTTTTTTGGTCTCAGCAGGAAGCGAATCGCCTGGCGGAACAGAAGAAAGCCGACTCCACGGCCAAGATCGCCTCCACGGCCAAGATCGCCAAGGTCCACTGAGAGTCGTCGTGGCCGATTTTACCCTCTTGTCATTTCTAAGAGTTTGCTGATTGCTGGTGACTGGAACCATGGAATTTTGTGACTTTCCATGAAGACTTGGGAATAATAACCCCAACTGACGAACTCATATTTTTTCGGGGTAGGCATACCACCAACCAGTTTGCTATTGAAGCCATGGCCCATTTACTTCGTTGATTTACCAGAAATTAAACATGGACAAACATGATGATTTTCCATAGTTATGTTAGTTTACCAGAGGGTAGTGTGGCCTGAAGAATTTTCACCCTTGGTTTCGATCAATACGGGTTTCCATCTGTAAACCGGGGTACCCCAATAGCTAGATGGTTTAGTTCATGGACACTCCTAAAATATTAAATGGATTATGGATTTTGGGGTACCCCCATTTTAGGACCAAATGGACATAAATGGAGGTGTCCTGAAGTGGGGGGAGCCCTAAGTCTTTGAGTTAGACCATTCAGCATTGAAACCTATGGTCCGATATGGAATGCACAGAGAAATCTGCAGCGAAGCCAAGTCGGGACTTTTTTTTCGCAATGTATAAACCAGATAAAGAAGGGATGCTTTTGGATGGATGATGGTTTATATATTCACATATCATATACAGTATACACACAGTGTGTCACAGGATATGTCTAAATTCATCAACTCCGTTTCATACATCTCTAGACATCTGCTAATGTGGGTAAAAAAATGCCATAAAGCATCCCCCAGTCATCACCATTTTTATAGGTGCTATGTTTACCATTCCCAGTCATGGGTGGTTTCTGGCATTGTTTTACCCACATCAATGGTTATATGATGGTTGATTGATGGTTTACGATGCTAAAAATTGATGGTTAATGATGGTTAGATAGTTATATAATGTTGTACACCATCAAAATCCACTGATGATAGATACTATAGATGGTTTATGATCCATTAACTGTTGGATCTATATACCCCTCCTGTTTAAGGATCATTGTGGGATACCATTTTTGGATCGACTCGCCAATGGTTTTGCATATCATCAACATGCATTGATTATAGACACAGCTTTGATTATGAGAGTCATCACTGGTGAATGATTAATCTGATTAATCAATGATAGTTAATGATAGTTAATGATAGTTAATGATCGTTAATGATAGTTAATGATTGTTAATGATTGTTAATGTGATATACCATCAAAATCTATGGCTTTGTTTCATTCTTTGCCGCGAGGACATGCAGGTGAAGACGGATCACATCGCAGACAAGGCGAAGGCCACGCGCGATCTGATGATCAAAGTGGAGAAAGCGGCGGCGGAGCACAGCAAAGCAGGTGCCAAAGCTGCGGAGGATTTGGAGAAACAGAATCAGCACATCAAGCAGTATGATCAGTATGGGTATGTGTGTAATATATAATATATATATATAATTGTAGTGGATATGATGAGATGATAAAATCACCAGCTATTTTGTGTGGGTAAATCAACTATTTCGAGCTGGAGCGTTTTCCAGTTCGCCAGCAAACTGTACACGTTTAGCAGAGGATGCAGAGGGTATCCATTGGGATGACCATTGGCATCTACATTTCGGGATCCGTTGATTGCCGCTGATTTTTGGTCATTTTCCGACCACACGTTTCCTGCTTTAATTTGGTCAATACATGTCAATACCTGTATTTTGAGGAATTCGATCCCCGCTCTTGCTAGTTTAGACATTTACATTTTTTTACAAGTGTGTGTTGACATCACAGTTTTTTATTGGTCGCCGTCGTCATCTTTGACCATTCTGGTTGCTGAAAATAACAGCCCCATGTTTGATGACGACTTTCCCATTCTTTGACTCAACATCCCCTTCATAGGTTCATAGGTTTCACAGGGTGGATGGTTGCAAAATCCTGCACCAGTTGATAACTATTGGTACCGTCTGGTTATTTAACATAGCCATGGAAAAATCCACCCATGTTGAAGTTCGGTAAACCATCTATTTCGATTAGGGCCATGGCTTCCAGTTCGCAAACTGTAAACGTTTACCAGGCCGGGTAACTTTCAAAACACTGCAAATCATGGGATCATGGGATGTTTACCATGATAAACCATGTACCAACTGGTGATGTATCGTTGGCCCATCCACCGTAGGTTGTTTCACATGGAAGCCACACCACCAAGCGGAGGGTTTTTTCACCCGACAAAATAGCCTCTGGTTATTTGTTACAGTTCGCCATGGAAGCCATGGCCCATAGAAATAGATGGTTTACCGAACTTAAAAATGGTGGATCTTTCCCATTAAAAATGGTGGATCTTTCCCATTAAAAATGGTGATTTTCCCATTAAACATGGTGGATCTTTCCATGGCAAACTGTGAGTCACAACCAGCTGGTAACGGGATAATCTATGTTCAAAAAAACTTCCAGAGGTGAAGATCACAAGAGCTCCATGACGAAGTTTGGCAAGATCAGTGACGACATGGAAGCCTTGGCCAGAAAGATCACCATGAAGGACCTCGCGCATTCGCGCGCGCTATGCTAAAAGCGGTGAGAATGGTTTGTTGCATGTCGACATATCAGTCAAAAATCCAAATTTGATGATATATTATGGATGATAACCCCTATATTATCCTATAGCTATATCCCTAATATAGTGAATATATATATATATATATATACATTGTGTATATATATAATCTGGTTGGTGGTTTGGAACATGAATTTTGTGACTTTCCATTCAGTTGGGAATAATCATCATCCCAACTGACTTTCATATTTTTAAGGGGTAGGCTCAACCACCAACCAGATGAGATAAAAATGGAGGATTCATGGTTTTGATTGGGACACGGAAGATGTTGTTCTTGACAAACTTAAAGAACGCTTTTTTCCCATGTCCAATACTGTAAATGAAATTACAATAAATTACTTATCAAGCACAAGACAATATGACACCTGGAGTGACTTGCACGGTGGCTGGGAAAAGGATCGATGAAGCCAATATTTCGCAGTCAGATCCTGTACATACATGCAAACCGCAAATCGAAAAAGCCGACAGATTGCACAAGGCGGAACAAAGAACCTTTTTTTTTGCGGGGTATACCATGGTATAGCCCATTTGTAGTCTCACCCATTGATCATCACATATCCAACCCACATGATCAGAGTCTGTTTGTTTGAAACAACGTAACTTGGACTGGGAGGAACAGGCGCTGACACAGATCGTGAGCACTTACAAAAGCCCCTTGGACCCAAAGAGACTCGACGGCTCGTGTTTTTGGGGGGATTTCAACATACTGTGGATGGATGGGCCAGCGAAATCTTGCACCACGACTGGAAGCGGATGGTTGAACCCCCAACAAAATCATGGGATAAACCATGATAAACCATGATAAACCATCTATCAACTGGTGCAGGTTTTCGCAACCATCCACAGTATTTCAACATGTTTTGACATTTTAATAGATTTTTCGATTTGATCATCTACAGGTCCTATTGGAAAGTCGGCTTGACTTTCCTATCGTCAACGGGGATGGCGAACAACACCGAGCCAATGGTTCACTGTTGAACCGACCGAGCGGATTCGGACACCCATCCAACGTATGGGGGGGGGTTGAAAACCATTACGGTTTTCCCCCATGAAATTGGGCTTTTTTTTGTTGGAACCATTGTTGGGCTTTGGTGGTGTTCCATTGGGGTTGATCCCAAAAAATGATCGGAACGGCCCCATGATCGATCTATCCACGGCGCCGAGGGCAAATCGCTGAGATGAAGGCTCAGATGGATGAAATGATGAAGGAGCCGCTGGGCGGATGGATGGCCCATGGTGGCCCATGGTGGCAAGGTTTGGGGGTGCTGCAATGAAAATCTGCTTGATGGTTTGGAACATGAATGGATGACATGACTTTCCATGAAGAGTTGGGAATTTCATCATCCCAACTGACTTTAACATACTTTAACTCCATCATTTTTCAGAGGGGTAGGCTCAACCACCACCAGAAATTCATGTGATTTCATGATGATCATGATGTGTCATGCACATTTAGATACACAATCCCAGTGTACGACCAGATATTAGTTGATAGGTGATGCATCTTACATATGATGAAATCCGTGCAGGAACCCCCGAGAAGATTCTCCTTTATCTCTAATTTACGGTCATTTTACCTTCAATTATCATCGATTATCATATCATTATCATATCATTATCATCAATTATCATCAGTTATCATCAATTATCATCAATTATCATCTATTATCATCTATTATCGCATTTATAATGTGGTGTATAGGATTTACCACTAACAGCCCATTTTTTTGGTCAACATCCAGGCTGACATCTCGCGAGGACAAAGAGAAGGCTGAGAACGAGATGAAGGATCTCAAGACTCAGGTGGGAACCAAAGAAGTATAGTTGAGTCTTTTCCAACGAGTAATTCCTTTAGTATAGTTAAGTCTTTTGCAACGAGTAATTCTCTAGATTTCTTTAGTATAGTTGAGTCTTTTCCAACGAGTAATTCCTTTAGTATAGTTAAGTCTTTTGCAACGAGTAATTCTCTAGATTTCTTTAGTATAGTTGAGTCTTTTCCAACGAGTAATTCTCTAGATTTCTTTAGTATAGTTGAGTCTTTTGCAACGAGTAATTCTCTAGATTTCTTTAGTATAGTTGAGTCTTTTCCAACGAGTAATTCCTTTAGTATAGTTAAGTCTTTTGCAACGAGTAATTCTCTAGATTTCTTTAGTATAGTTGAGTCTTTTCCAACGAGTAATTCCTTTAGTATAGTTAAGTCTTTTGCAACGAGTAATTCTCTAGATTTCTTTAGTATAGTTGAGTCTTTTCCAACGAGTAATTCCTTTAGTATAGTCAAGTCTTTTGCAACGAGTAATTCGCTAGATTTCTTTAGTATAGTTGAGTCTTTTCCAACGAGTAATTCTTTTGGAATAGTTAAGTCTTTTGCAACGAGTAATCCTCTAGATTTCTTTAATATAGTTGAGTCTTTTCCAACGAGTAATTCCTTTAGTATAGTTAAGTCTTTTGCAACGAGTAATTCTCTAGATTTCTTTAGTATAGTTGAGTCTTTTCCAACGAGTAATTCCTTTAGTATAGTTAAGTCTTTTGCAACGAGTAATTCTCTAGATTTCTTTAGTATAGTTGAGTCTTTTCCAACGAGTAATTCCTTTAGTATAGTTAAGTCTTTTGCAACGAGTAATTCTCTAGATTTCTTTAGTATAGTTGAGTCTTTTCCAACGAGTAATTCTCTAGATTTCTTTAGTATAGTTGAGTCTTTTCAACGAGCACTTCTCTAGATTTCTTTAGTATAGTTGAGTCTTTTCCAACGAGTAATTCCTTTAGTATATATATTAAAGTCTTTTGCAACGAGTAATTCTCTAGATTTCTTTAGTATAGTCGAGTCTTTTCCAACGAGTAATTCCTTTAGTATAGTTAAGTCTTTTGCAACGAGTAATTCTCTAGATTTCTTTAGTATAGTTGAGTCTTTTCCAACGAGTAATTCCTTTAGTATAGTTGAGTCTTTTGCAACGAGTAATTCTCTAGATTTCTTTAGTATAGTTGAGTCTTTTGCAACGAGTAATTCTCTAGATTTCTTTAGTATAGTTGAGTCTTTTGCAACGAGTAATTCTCTAGATTTCTTTAGTATAGTTGAGTCCTTTGCAACGAGTAATTCTCTAGATTTCTTTAGTATAGTTGAGTCTTTTGCAACGAGTAATTCTCCAGATTTCTTTAGTATAGTTAAGTCTTTTGCAACGAGTAATTCTCTAGATTTCTTTAGTATAGTTTGAGTGCTTGTGTCCAACGAGTAATTCCTCATTATGTTTGACTGGTCCTTTGCCACGAGTAATTCTCTACTAAGATTTCTTTCGGTATAGTTGAGTCCTTTGCACGAGTAATTCTCTAATTTCTTTAGTATAGTTGAGCCTTTTGTCACGAGTAATTTCTCACTCTAGTTTCTTTAGTATAGTTGAGTCCCTTTTTTTTTTGTTTTTTTTTTTGGGCCCCACAACGAGTAATCCTAGATTTCTTAGTAATAGTTGGGTCTTTGGCAACGAGTACTTTCTCCAGATTTCTTTCCTGTATAGTTAGTCTTTTGCAACGAGTAATTCTCCAAGTTCTTAGTATAGTTTTGAGTGGTTTTCCAAACGAGTAATTCTTTGTATAGTTAATAAGTCTTTTGCAATGTCACCGATTAATTCTCTAGATTTCTTTGGTATAGTTGAGTCTTTTCCAACGAGTAATTCCTTTAGTATAGTTAAGTAAGTCTTTTGCAACGAGTAATTCTCTAGATTTCTTTAGTATAGTTGAGTCTTTTCCAACAAGTAATTCCTTTAGTATAGTTAAGTCTTTTGCAACGAGTAATTCTCTAGATTTCTTTAGTATAGTTGAGTCTTTTCCAACGAGTAATTCCTTTAGTATAGTTAAGTCTTTTGCAACGAGTAATTCTCTAGATTTCTTTGGTATAGTTGAGTCTTTTCCAACGAGTAATTCCTTTAGTATAGTTAAGTCTTTTGCAACGAGTAATTCTCTAGATTTCTTTAGTATAGTTGAGTCTTTTCCAACGAGTAATTCCTTTAGTATAGTTAAGTCTTTTGCAACGAGTAATTCTCTAGATTTCTTTAGTATAGTTGAGTCTTTTCCAACGAGTAATTCCTTTAGTATAGTTAAGTCTTTTGCAACGAGTAATTCTCTAGATTTCTTTAGTTTATAGTTGAGTCTTTTCCAACGAGTAATTCCTTTAGTATAGTTAAGTCTTTTGCAACGAGTAATTCTCTAGATTTCTTTAGTATAGTTGAGTCTTTTCCAACGAGTAATTCCTTTAGTATAGTTAAGTCTTTTGCAACGAGTACTTCTCTAGATTTCTTTAGTATAGTTGAGTCTTTTCCAACGAGTAATTCCTTTAGTATAGTTAAGTCTTTTGCAACGAGTAATTCTCTAGATTTCTTTAGTATAGTTGAGTCTTTTCCAACGAGTAATTCCTTTAGTATAGTTAAGTCTTTTGCAACGAGTAATTCTCTAGATTTCTTTAGTATAGCTGAGTCTTTTCCAACGAGTAATTCCTTTAGTATAGTTAAGTCTTTTGCAACGAGTAATTCTCTAGATTTCTTTAGTATAGTTGAGTCTTTTCCAACGAGTAATTCCTTTAGTATAGTTAAGTCTTTTGCAACGAGTAATTCTCTAGATTTCTTTAGTATAGTTGAGTCTTTTCCAACGAGTAATTCCTTTAGTATAGTCAAGTCTTTTGCAACGAGTAATTCGCTAGATTTCTTTAGTATAGTTGAGTCTTTTCCAACGAGTAATTCTCTAATTTCTTTAGTATACGTTGAAGCTCTTTTTCCACGAGTATTCCTTTAGATAGTTAAGTCTTTTGCACGGTATCTCTAGATTTCTTGTATTAAGTTTGAGTCTTTTCCACGAGTCCATTCTCTAAGATTCTTTGTAATAGTTGAGGAGTCCTTTTCCGACGGAGTACTTTTCCTTTTAGTAGTGGTAAGTTTTTGCAACGAGTAATTCCTCTAGATTTCTTTAGTATCTTTATGCTTTTCCAACGAGTAAATTCCTTTAGTATGTTTGAGTCTTTTGCAACGAGTAATTCTCCAGATTTCTTTAGTATAGTTGAGTCTTTTCCAACGAGTAATTCCTTTAGAGTCTTTTCCAACGAGTAATTCCTTTAGTATAGTTAAGTCTTTTGCAACGAGTACTTCTCTAGATTTCTTTAGTATAGTTGAGTCTTTTCCAACGAGTAATTCCTTTAGTATAGTTAAGTCTTTTGCAACGAGTAATTCTCTAGATTTCTTTAGTATAGTTGAGTCTTTTCCAACGAGTAATTCCTTTAGTATATATATAGTTAAGTCTTTTGCAACGAGTAATTCTCTAGATTTCTTTAGTATAGTTGAGTCTTTTCCAACGAGTAATTCCTTTAGTATAGTCAAGTCTTTTGCAACGAGTAATTCTCTAGATTTCTTTAGTATAGTTGAGTCTTTTCCAACGAGTAATTCCTTTAGTATAGTTAAGTCTTTTGCAACGAGTAATTCTCTAGATTTCTTTAGTATAGTTGAGTCTTTTCCAACGAGTAATTCCTTTAGTATAGTTAAGTCTTTTGCAACGAGTAATTCTCTAGATTTCTTTAGTATAGTTGAGTCTTTTCCAACGAGTAATTCCTTTAGTATAGTTAAGTCTTTTGCAACGAGTAATTCTCTAGATTTCTTTAGTATAGTTGAGTCTTTTCCAACGAGTAATTTCTTTAGTATAGTTAAGTCTTTTGCAACGAGTAATTCTCTAGATTTCTTTAGTATAGTTGAGTCTTTTCCAACGAGTAATTCCTTTAGTATAGTTCTTTTGCAACGAGTAATTCTCTAGATTTCTTTAGTATAGTTGAGTCTTTTCCAACGAGTAATTCCTTTAGTATAGTTAAGTCTTTTGCAACGAGTAATTCTCTAGATTTCTTTAGTATAGTTGAGTCTTTTCCAACGAGTAATTCCTTTAGTATAGTTAAGTCTTTTGCAACGAGTAATTCTCTAGATTTCTTTAGTATAGTTGAGTCTTTTCCAACGAGTAATTCCTTTAGTATAGTTAAGTCTTTTGCAACGAGTAATTCTCTAGATTTCTTTAGTATAGTTGAGTCTTTTCCAACGAGTAATTCCTTTAGTATAGTCAAGTCTTTTGCAACGAGTAATTCGCTAGATTTCTTTAGTATAGTTGAGTCTTTTCCAACGAGTAATTCTTTTGGAATAGTTAAGTCTTTTGCAACGAGTAATCCTCTAGATTTCTTTAATATAGTTGAGTCTTTTCCAACGAGTAATTCCTTTAGTATAGTTAAGTCTTTTGCAACGAGTAATTCTCTAGATTTCTTTAGTATAGTTGAGTCTTTTCCAACGAGTAATTCCTTTAGTATAGTTAAGTCTTTTGCAACGAGTACTTCTCTAGATTTCTTTAGTATAGTTGAGTCTTTTCCAACGAGTAATTCCTTTAGTATAGTTAAGTCTTTTGCAACGAGTAATTCTCTAGATTTCTTTGGTATAGTTGAGTCTTTTCCAACGAGTAATTCCTTTAGTATAGTTAAGTCTTTTGCAACGAGTAATTCTCTAGATTTCTTCAGTATAGTTGAGTCTTTTGCACGAGTAATTCTTTAGTATAGTTGAGTCTTTTGCAACGCGTAATTCTTTAGTATAGTTGAGTCTTTTGCAACGAGTACTTCTTTAGTATAGTTGAGTCTTTTGCACGAGTATTTCTTTTGGTATAGTTGAGTCTTTTGCACGAGTAATTCCTTTAGTATAGTTGAGTCTTTTGCAACGAGTAATTCTTCAGTATAGTTGAGCCTTTTGCAACGACTGGGGATCTCAAAGCCAGAAGTTTTCCAGTACCAGATTATCAGATTGTGTCATGTTTGGCAAGATTGGCCATGATTTAGCGATCTCAGTGGAATCATGTTGATAACCCGGGAATCATCCTACGACCTAAAATTTCAGGTTAGCCAGATTCATGTCTATACCAATTCAACCAAGTTGTTTTACCTATTTTAATTTCATATGTTATGTATCTGATTCGTGGTTTGGAACATGAATTTTGTTTTTCCATTCAGTTGGGAATTTCATGATCCCAACTGACGAACTCATATTTTTCAGAGGGGTAGGCTCAACCACCAACCAGTTACAGTATGTTATTTATATCTTCAGCTAAAATAGGTAAAAAAACTTGGTTGAAATATTTGCATATATAAAATTTCTTTTTATGGGTAACTACATTTCATAACTATGGAACGTCACCATTTTATAGCTGGGAAAACTCACTATTAACAATAGCTATGGCCATTTTCAATAGCAAACTGAAACAAATTACCAGGCCGGGTATATCCCATTTTCAGTGGATGAAACAATCCCATAAAATCTCCCATAATAAATCACCATTAAAAACCCATTAAACATAGATTAACCATAGATTAACTATAGAATAACCATAGAATAACCATTAAATTCATGAAATCTATCGTAGTTTACCCAGGTTCATTTATCCCAAATGCCAGGCCGCGTCGGCGGGCAAGTTCAAGACTGATGTGCAACAGGCCGTGTCGGTTGTTTAAAGGGCAGACACTCACAGCGGCACGTGGCATTCCAACGGCAAATCAGAGGAAAATGATGGGAAATCAGGGGAAAATGATGGAACAAAAACTGAACATGATGGGAAAATGATGGGAAAATGATGGGAAAACGATGATTCAACTATGAACCAATGGATTGTTGGCCCATTTTCAGTTTTTTTTTGGGGGTTTTGGCTCTAGAGACCTAAGACGGCTTCGAACATTCCCATCATTCGAACATCATCCCTAGGTGTCTGGTTGGTGGTTTCAAACATTTTTTTTTCCATTTCATATATGGGATGTCATCCTTCCCATTGACTAATATTTTTCAAGATGGTTAAAACCACCCACCAGGATCCACCAGGTGTGTTTTTCGAATCAGCCAGGGCGGGATCGACCTTCCACGGAGCCAGGAACAAGCCAAGACTGAAAAGGAGATGCAAACTGCGCAACAGGAGAGATGCCAAGCTGGGAGAAGTTTCATATATTTCATTAGGTGGTGAACAATGCCATGTGGGTAAAACAATGCCATAAACCATTCCCCCAGTCATCACAATTTAAGTATGGGGTGGTATGGTTACGCGCAAACCCCCCAGTTCGCCCACACAACTTCTTAGGGATTTTGAAGGAATATATATTCCGACCCCCGTTAATCTTTACATTCAATTGGGAAGATCAACAAGGGTATTAGGAATATAAATTCCCACCCCCGTTAAACTTTACATTCAATTGGGAAGATCAACAAAGGTATGAGGGAATATTACAGTCCCACCCCCGTTAAATTTCTACGTTCATTGAAGATCTTCAATAGGGTTTAATTCTCCCACCCCCGTTAAACTTCTACGTTCATTGAAGATCTTCAATAAGGGTTTAGTTCTCCCACCCCCGTTAAACTTCTACATTCATTGAAGATCTTCAATGAGGGTTTAATTCTCCCACCCCCGTTAAAATTCTACATTCATTGAAAATCTTCAATAAGGGTTTAGTTCTCCCACCCCCGTTAAACTTCTACATTCATTGAAGATCTTCAATAAGGGTTTTGTTCTCCCACCCCCGTTAAACTTCTACATTCATTGAAGATCTTCAATGATGGTTTAATTCTCCCACCCCCGTTAAACTTCTACATTCATTGAAGATCTTCAATAAGGGTTTGATGATGATGATGATGATGATGATCATGATGATGATGATGCTGATGCTGATGACGATGATGATGATGATGATGACGATGTTGTTGTAACATTCAACGCACAGGTAGCTAAGCTGTGCGTTGCAAGATGAAAGCCATGATCATGGACATGTGCATTTTGTCCCACAAAACACAGTGTTTTTTGATGTTCGGACACGTCGTCGGCGTCGGCGCGGGCAAACTGAGGTGTTTTACCGTATGGTTACCATTCCCAGTCATGGGTGGTTTACGGCATTGTTTTACCCACATCAATGGTTATATGATGGTTGATTGATGGTTTACCATGCTTTATTGATGGTTCATGATGGTCAGATAGTTATATAATGTTGTATATCATCAAAATCCATTGATGATAGATACTATAGATGGTTTATGATCCATTAACTGTTGGATCTATATACCTCTGTTTAAGGATCATTGTGGGATACCATACGGATCGACTCGCCAATGGTTTTGCATACCATCAGCATCCATTGATTATAGACACTATTTATTATGATAGTAATTACTGGTTAATGATTAATAAATGATGGTTAACGGTTACTGATTGTTATAGTGATGGTTGATGAACTATGATTCATATTTATTAGCTTCATATTCACTTAAATAATGGTGATCATTAACAAATAATAGGTTATCCTGTGGTTGAATGAGAACAATATTTGTTAACCCAAATTCCCAACCATGATTCATATTTATTAGCTTAATATTCACATAAATAATGCTTATCATTGACAAATAGATTAGGTTCTCAACCATTACTGTCATCATGGTTAATGATTAATAAATGATAGATATGTAAATCCTATGGTTAAATGTAATCATTCATGTTAAAAATCAACCATTAATGTCATCATGGTTAACACATATCCTATGATGATTCCCAATAATAATATTTCATGATTAACAAATATTAGGTTCCCAAATTTTCTTATCCTAAATATTGCTTAACAAATCATATTAGGTCAATCCTATGGTAAACTAACATAACTATGGGAAAACACCATTTCCAATGGGTAAATCCACTATTTCTATGGTCATTTTCCTATGGGTTTTGATGGATTCCCAACAAATACTCTGGCGCCTCCCAGGAGCTCCAGGCCATCCGGCGCGCCCTGGACTCCGCGGTGAGCGCCGCCACGGTGGCCGAGGCGCAGGAGGTGCAGGCGGCGAACGAGGCGCGCGAGGCCAATGGACGCGTGGAGGTGGCCAAGATCCTCGGTGGAAACCGAGGAACTCGGGGATTTTCCCCTTTGGAAATCGATGAAAAAACCTATGGAAGTCATGGAATTTCGATGGAAAAAAGGATGGAACTTCGATGGAACTTCGATAGAAAATCCATGGAACCCTAGGAAATTCGATGGAAAATCCTATGGAAACACGTGGATTTCGCCAAGGAATTGAAATCCAACTGGAAGATGTTTGGGATTTCCCCCCTGGAAACAGTGGAATAGTGGAAAAGTATGGAAAAGTATGGAAAACTAGAGGGATATAGAGGGATATATTATGAATTTATGAATTATATTGAATTACTATATATTTAAATGATGTGAGATGGTTTTGATACTGATGGGAATGGTGGTTGGTTTGGATTGGAAAACTATGGAATTTTCCATCTCCAGATGGGGTCCCAAAAGCACATCCGATATGTCAGTTGGGATGAGATCTTTTTATTTTTTGAGGGGGATAACATTAGGATATGAAAATCATACTTGATGAACTCTGTTCATATTCAATACAAATACCCTCTGGTAATTTAACCTAGCTATTGGAAATGGCCATTTATAGTTGATTTCCCCATTAAACATAGTGATTTTCCATAGCTATGTTAGTTTACCAGAGGGTAGTATATTGACATCCTTTTCATGCTGGTGAGTGGATGAGTAGAGGTGTAGTCCACACAACTGTCACATCTTTTCGCCAAAAAAATCTGGGAAATTGATACCAAACTAAGCTTAAAACGCCCTCGTTTTGCGAACTAACGATGTATCTACGCGGTGAGAGTTAAGGCTTTTGATGCTGTTGGTGAGTTGTCCATACTGGACTTGAAATCGATGATATCTCCTAGGAATCTACCTACTTTTGATATCTTTTGATAGACCTAATGTCATGCAATTAGATCAGCAGTATCCCAACAGTTACATGACTAGGTAGGCCTTCAGCAAGAACTGAAAAAAAGCTCTTCTGACCAAGTATTTGCCTTATACTCCCTAAACGGCTCCTTGGAACATTCCCCCCCATTAACTTGGAGAAGTTTCCCCCCCATTAACCATGGATTTTTAAGTGATTTTTGGTTCAGCTCCATCGGAACTCCATCGGCTCGCGTTCAGACGCTCAGGAAGACCAAGGAGTATTTGATGAAGATCCGAGGTGCAGTGCGATCCTACTACGTGCCTGGGACATCCGACCAGGATTGCTCGGCGAGCCATGGCTCGCCATCAAAAGGTACATCGCCATTATGAACTATACCCTCTGGCTATTTGTTAACAGTTTGCCATGGAAAAAAATCCACCCATTTTTAAGTTTGGTAAACCATCTATTTCGATATGGGCCATCTATACCATGGCTATGTTAGTCATAACCAGATGGTACATAAATTATATTCACAAGGGGGAACCTTTATTGAACATATCATGAACATATCATGAACATGTGGTGCTGAAAAACTTGGGGAATATCTCTCTGCTGTTTCCCCTCCATATCTGGCAAAGAGGATATTCAGGACCTTGGACAGTGGATGTCGTGTAAAAATTCCAGGCCTGGTTGGGCCTGGTTTTTCTGGACGTTGACGTTGCAAGACATCCAAATACCACAGGGTGGGACTCAAACGAAGCAACGATAGACCTGCTAACCGTGAAAGTCACCAACCCCCCAACATCACCTCCGAAATCAGCCAAGTTCAACATTCCCCAGGACTCCCCCACTTCACCAAATCCCCAAAATCTCCAAAATCAGGGCTTGTCTGAAACTAGCGGATATCAAACAATGGGGTACACTTACTTAAACCCACAGAGGAATATTCCAACAAGATAGATGAGCCGTGGGTGAAAGAAAAACGGAAACCATCGAAAAGCCTTCAAAACCATAAGTTTGCTATATACATATCCACTTTTATCCTCATTACCAAAAAAACATACCATCTGGTGATTTAACATAGCCATGGAAAATCACCAAAATAAATGGAGGTTTTTTTCGTTCGCTGGGAAAATCATCTATTTCGATTAGGGCCATCAACAAACCATGGCTATGTTAGTCATAACCAGAGGGTAAAGATCCACGCGCAACCAGCAGAGCTCAGGGCAGCATCGATGATCTCGAGGGCGCTGTGGAGGGCCAGGCGAGAAAATCTGGAGATGGGGATGATACTATAGTATATATATATATATAGTAACATGCTTATATTACTGGTATTCTATACCATATGGGGATGTAACATTATATATATATATACTATTAATTACTATGAATACATACTATTATATACTACAATAAGAATAATCATGTTTACCCCCTGACAATCTTAAATAAGGCCATGGGAAATCCGAGAAGATCTGGATGAACTAGAATGACCTCACGTCTTTTTACGTCACTGGAATGATGGGAATGACATAAGAGGAATCATCCCCAAATGGCTGCATGATAACATCGATTTTCAGGTCGGTGAATGATTTTTTCAGCCACTTGAATGTTGAAGTATTGTTCTTGATCAATTCTAGGGTGATTTTAAAGTTTTTGTTTGAGCAATCATTGAATTTTCATTGTTTCTTTCCGACTGTATTACTATGCTTCCAATCTCAGGGAGTTTCATGGTGCCCCCAGAGTCAGCGAAGTTGGTTTAAATGAATCAATGAATCGCTAGTTTTTTTTTTTGTAGTGGTTTGTGGTAAATCATTCTATATTACATATAGAATCATATGGGAGTCGTTCTACCATGCAAGACAGTATCCGAGTGAAATCTATATGGACGTGTCGAAAGGCCGCCTTTCAGGGCGGCGTAAGGCAGTTTTGGGGAACCATAATTTTGAAGAACCCCCATACAGATTTATATAGTTATTAATAGTTGATGGTGATTAATTTGGTTGAATCACTAGTACTAGCTGTAACAAAATAAATTAATGATGTTAATACTGTTAATTAGTTATTAATAAGTGATTATAGTTTTCCACATTTTTTTTTGTGTGTTTAAATCGACTTTTTTCAGTTGGGAGGTTTTTTTATCATCGTTGGGCCGAATGTCTAAAAAAGGCCAAGGTGGAGCTGAAGGATGTTGCAGAAGCCAAGACGATGTTGGAAAAGTACAACACGATGATCCTTGGCTGCGGGAGACATCCTTTCAATGGCCATTTCAGGATCCAAAAATGGAGGTACTGTACCATATAAGGCCATATTTTGTGGGGATATCCCCTTACATAGGCCTTATATAGGCCTTATATATGGTAGGTACCTCCAATTTGGGTTCCTGAAATGACCATTGATCCTTGGATAGCTGGGATGTAAATGAGCAGTGGCTGCGATTCACCCCTGCTGGTTGATGATTAGTGAGTTTGGATTATACTACACAATATATTGGGGATTATAATGATCCAATAGGGCATCCCGTTCTTAACCAACCAGGATTAAATGGAATGACAGAGGGGTTTTGAACACTGCTCAAATGAACTAACTTAGACAGTTTGCGAACTGGAAAATGAACTAACTGATACCTGGGATGTAAACTAACATCGACAGTTTGCGAACTGGAAAATCACAATGTTTAAGTATTTTTTAGAGCTAAATACCCGGGATGTAAACTAACTAACAGTTTGCAACTGAACAAATCTTACCATTTTTTCAAATATGTTTCTAATTGCTAATTGATTATATCCACTGTATACATGGCAATTGAAAAAATAACTATGTTAAACTACCAGAGAGTACAAGAAAGGGGGTTTTGAAAGGAGGTTTTAATATAGATATTAGCTAAGTTGGAATCCGAATCAGTTGGTAAACTAAGGTAGCTATTGGGGTAATATAACAAACGAGTGAGGTTTATAAAACATTTTTTCACTGGAGGGCTCCTAGTGTTACTAAACCAAAGTGACGTCTTCAATAGGAAAATGATGAACACATCATTGGAATGATGAAACATCACCTCAGATCCGGAAGCTATACAACATCAACCATCAACCAAGCATCATTTATGCATGACATCAACATGTATCAACTATATGCCATAGTTTTTGTTGCTAACCCCCTATCGTTAGCGATTACAAGCTGGGGGACTCCAACTTGCAGCACTAAATCCCTACCAGCTACATCCCTATCGTCTCTTTGTTTGAGAGCTGATCTGAAGAAAAACTCTGTGAGCCATGATCAAAACATGCCAACATCTGGTTCTTTTGTCCCCACGACTGTGGACACCCATTTGGTCATCTGTGGGATGACCAAGGCCCCCCAGCTGTATCATGTTGGTGATATAACCATGACATCCCATGGTTTTTTCGCCAAAAAGCCATGAACAAAAATGGAGCAAGGCCCCAAGGCATAGCCAAGGCTTGGATGGCGATTCACCATCCAGCTTTTTTGGGCTTTCCCCCATGACTTGGGAAACCTCCATATCCCACCCCCCTCAACTCCCCGCAACCTGACGCAACTTGGGAACCATCAGGATTAGCTCCTTCCGGAACTTGCACGCCTATGATGCGGAAGTCTACACGAAGGTCACTCCAGCCATCAAGGACCATGGCGGGGCTCTGGTGATTATGGCACCAGCTGCCAGCTTTGTCTGAAAATGCTACCCCCCCCGCTAATATACGTCAAAATTGGCAATTTCAACGGGATCATCATCAATGATTCGCTGATTTGGGATTTTTTTGCTATATATATATATATATGGGTGTGTATCATATATGGGACATCAGAATTCGGAGAAATCCACCACACTGATATTTAATCGGGACAATCATTAATATGACCCAGTATCATATTTACCATGATACCATATATGACTGATGACATATATCATATTTAGCACTGATTTGAAACTATATACCACCACATAATATTCATTATTCAAATGATACGGTGGGTGGTTGCGAAATCCTGCACCACCAACCGGATGGTTGAAATCCCAACAAAATAATGGGATGATAAGCAACCATCCACAGTATTTTCCATATTTTTGGCCATATTTTGAGGGTATATCCCCTGAAAAATAGCCCTGACAAATAGGCCCAAAACACATGGTAGGTACCTCCAATTTGGGTTCCTGGAATGGCCATTGATTTTCTATCTGGTTGGTGGTTTGGAACATATTTTTTTTCTTCCATAATATATGGGGATGTCATCATCCCAACTGACGAGCTCCATCATTTTTCAGAGGTGTAGGTATACCACCAACCAGCCATTGGTTTTCTATGATTTACCCTCTGGTAAACTAACATAATTATGGACAATGGCCATTTGTGGTGAGTTTTCCCATCAAAAATGGTGATTGTCCATGGTTTTTGGTATGTTTACCAGAGGGTACCATCATGACTAGCCGCTAATTATCAAGCCACGTAGCCACGCAGCGTGGAGGAAGTGAAGGAGAACGCTTTCGCCCAGATTCGCCACTGGGCCGAGTGATTTTTTGGAATCCCCAAAAAGAGAGAGGAGTGAATAAATGTTCACTTTTTCAAGTCGGATTTTACTTTTCTATGTTGGGGGTTGCTACATATGTTTTTTTTGGTGTGTATGTATATTGGTGAAGGATTTTGTCCATATTTTTCTTGGGTTAGAAAAATGGGTTAGAAAAATAGGTATGTCCAGAATCTGTTGAGTCTGCTCATATACACAATGTGGTTTTTCCCCAAGTTTTTTTAGTGGATCTCAACTCCCCATCTATGGATATATCTACCACTTAAAACCACAGTTCACCACTTGGTGAACTAAAGCAACTCAGCTAAAAACCCGGATCACTACCTTGTACTTTCATACGTGTACATAATTGTGTACATGAGATATCATGAGAATTCATGAGATATATGCACATCATTGAACATATACAACATGAATATTATGATCTATAGATAGATCTCTCCCAAACTGGGCACTTGTGCACATCCCAAGAAATCAAACAGCCGTGACCAGGACGGCACCAGAGATTTTGGGTTACTGTGCCCAGAAATATGGGGAGATTCAATGGTTTGCCTGCGGGAAAATCTGGTAGAAAATCACGGAAGCCCCGCAAGAAGTAATCCATTGAATGATCAATGATGGATGAGGTATGATCAATGATGGATCAATGATGGATCAATGATGATGATGATGATGGATGATCAATGCGGGAAAATATGCGGATATTCAATTGGATCATTGATAATTCAATGAGATATGGTCGATGATGGATGATGATCAACGATGGATGATGACACTATTGGGCTTACATTGCTAAATACATCTAAATAGCCCGAAGAAAAATATCGAACAGCTTGGTTTAGCACTGGATCTTTTTGGTGGGTCCCAGGGTCCAAATTGGTAGATCTTGGGAGGATGAGAATTTCACGACCTTCGGGGGATGATGCTGTCTACCCACAGCCTGAAAGGCCGAAAATGGTGGTGGGGGTTCTTAATCCCACCACTGCCAATAGTCGTCTTTGGATATCTGTGGATCTTTATCCCTACACATATGCAACCTATGGTGCTGGAATATGCACATCAACATGACTAGCCCATATACTATACATGGAGCATATGGGTTATGAACAGTGGATTCTCCAAGATTGATCAATATTATCCAATCATCATCCAGACCTTTTGGACTTTCTATGCTACCCTCTGGTAAACTAACATAGCTATTGAAAATGGCCATTTATAGTGAGTTTTCCCATAAAAAATGGTGATTTTCCATAGTTATGTTAGTTTACCAGAGGGTACCTGACTACCTGAAGCCCATGTTTTCCCCAAATTTGTGCGGAGCTCAGGTTTCATCTGTGACATGATGGGCATCAAAACCAGCAAGGCGCCAAAAAAAAACTCCACTGCAGTGGAGTTGAGGAGTGAGGGGACCACAGATTTTAGATGATTTTAGTATGTTTTTAGTCTTAACCAATTATTGGGATACCCAATTTTGACCCATACACCCGTATCAGAGATCTTTAGGTAAAAGATGGTAAAATATAGTTAAAATGAATCAAACAAGATTTAGGGTCCTAGGTTGAGGGTTGAACATGGACCAAGTGCTCATAAATGAAGAGAAGGACCCCACCGAAAAATACCAATGATTTCAACTTCAAGAGATGTGAGAATTAGAATTAGATACACGTGGATAAAACAGTAGAGTTGTGTTTTCGATGTTCTTCTAGACGTTTCTTGGAATGGTATGTTTGCACCATTTTTAGTTCTCAATTTTTTAGAATTCCATCTCCCAATCAGGGTGTATTTCGCAGGGGAAAGAGACTACTTGATATTCCGCTGTCCGAAAAAAAGCTTGGCCATGGCCAGAATCAACAATGCCTGGTGGAGGGCTATTCAATCCTGTGGCGAATGGGACTAAGATGGACTAAGTTCCAGTTTCACATTTCTTAGACATGCCAATGGCATTTCGAGCCTCTGAAAAGTTCATATATTTCATGTTGGGATACCCTCAACCTGAATTGTTCCTTACCTGAGTTTTTGTTTTTTTAATGTTTTTTCCCCTTCAACTTATCCATCTCCGACTCATCTCCAAAAACACACCTGGCCCCTTGCGGGGCCTTCAGGATGCGCATTGCCTCTCCGACCTTTGGGGAACGCTGGGAATGACCAAGTTGGAGTTCCCTTCCGACTGAGCCGCGTCGGATCGATGAACGACCGCGATGCGTAGCTGGCGTCATAGAGAAAAGGGGTTCGGCGCGGCATCAGAGGTGGGGATGGCAACGGTATGGCTCTTTTTAACGGAGACCAACGGATTTTTGGTGGTTTGGAACATGAATTTTATTTTTCCATAGAGTGGGAAGAATAAGTCCAATCGACTAATATTTTTCAGAGGGGTTGAAACCACGAACCAGTTAAAGTATTGAGCCATCCGGTGAAATGTACCTTGAAGCGGCATGAGCATCTCCCAGTTTCAACGACAAAGCCATCTACTGTACAGGTGGCATTTCCATTGCTATCTTGATTTGTCACAGGGCTTTGAAGTTGGGAAGCCCAGAGATAAAGAAATGGGATCTGTGCGTGGCACCTTGCTACAAAGTCCAAGATTCTCCAAGCCCACGAATCGTGGACAGCCTCAACCGACCATGTTGACACCTGCTGGCTTTTACAATTAGTTGCTTGATAGGTTTCGCTACTGTTGGTTATCATAATCCCCGGTAAACCAGGAAGTATAATCCCCTATACCATCTGTTTATTTGACATAGCCATGGAAAGATCCACCCATTTTTAAGTTCGGTAAAATTCGGTAAACCATCTATTTCGATTAGGGCCTTCAACAAACCATGGCGAACTGTTAGTCATAACCAGAAGGGTAAATTACCATTAATCACCATTAATCATGGATTAATCACCATTAAATCACCATTAAATCACAATTTTCCAATGATTTTCCTATGATTTTCCTATGATTTTGGCTCTTTACACCTGGTGTCATCTTCGCTTTCGACGATGCCCGGAACCTCCGCAGGCGCCCGAGCCCGCTTCGGAGCAGCGAAGGAAGGGACGGACGCTGGGAGCAGCGGAGCCGGCGGAGCCGCTTGGACCCAACGGTTACCCAACGGAGCCGTGGGCCCGTGGGGGATGGCTATTCTCCACGGGATGGAGTTTCCAAAGTTTACCATCTGGTTATGTCAAAATAGCTATGGAAAATCACCATTTTTAATGGGAAAATCCACTATAAATGGCCATTTTCCATAGCTATGTTAGTTTACCAGAGGGTAATGGGTTTTTAATGGTGATTGAATGGGATTTTAGTGGGGATTTCTTCATCCATTTTTTATATCTTTTTATGGGATATACCAATATACCCTCTGGTGATGTCAAAATAGCTACTGGAAATGACCATAGAAATCGTGGATTTTCCCATGAAACATGGTGATTTTCCATAGTTATGTGGCTGTTTACCAGAGGGTAGTTTGAGACACCCCCATATTTTTTTAAAGGACAGGTACGGTATAATTATTCAACACAGCTATTGGACATCCGTCATCTTGATAGGTAAATGATGGTTACAGTAATACAGGTACATCATCCAAAAATGGACCATTTTCCATAGAAAAAAAGGCGCTGCATCCATGGCTCAAACAAATGCAATACATTATGACATGATATACCTGTATCTAGGGAAATGGCTAGTTACAGTTACATACATCTAGGTCTATGGTATATGGATCTAAAGGGCTAGTTATATTGTCTCCAAGTGTACGGCTAGTTCTATTTTTATATTGTATACAGTCATATAACATATACTGTATAATACTATACACAGTATGTTAATGTCGTAATCCGGCATTCACTTGGTTTGAACTCACCAATATGTCAAAGTGCAAAAACCCTACTAATAAGATACTAATACTAACTAGTTTTTCTGTACTAGCAGGATATCAAATAGGTGTATCTGAGTTATTACTACTAGGTGTATGAGATATACTTGTTCAGGCTATATTTGTACTTAGATATACTAGGTACCGGTGTATGTATGATACTACTACTAGGTGCTATTACTACTACTGGTTGGTGGTTTGGAACATTTTTTTATTTTCCATTTCATATATGGGATGTCATCCTTCCCATTGACGAACTCATATTTTTCATGGTTAAAACCACCAACCAGACTAGGTTATGTCAAGAAAAATGCTTCAGTCTGATCACCGGAACGTGGAAAACCCAACTCCGCGACAGGCCAAGCGTGGAAATCGAGGAGAGCGGCTGGTGGTTTTTTCATGATGCACCTGGTGGGGATAGTAATGACTCATGGTGACCAATGAATGGGAACAGGATTAGGCTCTGGTAAACTGAGAGTTTGCGAAATGTAAAATGGCCAGTTATAGCGGATTTACCTCTTACCATGGTGATTTTCCATAGTTTTTTGTATGTTTACCAGAGGGTAAGGGAATGAAATATCATGGGTATACCCGTCATCCTTGGGAGATCATGAAATTATATCAAATATGACTGGTTGGTGGTTTCAAACATGTTTTTATTTTCCATTTCATATATGGGATGTCATCCTTCCCATTGACTTTCACTCCATCATTTTTCAAGATGGTGAAATTGGACCACCAACCAGAAAGATATATTAAGTGGATTATAATTATATTCCCATTCCATTCCATTAAATTTTAGATCCCATTAAAATCCCATTAAAATCCCATTAAAATTCTATTAAAATCCCATTAAAATCCCATTAAAATCCCATTAAAATCCCATTAAACACTATTAAATCATGGGTAACCCATTAAAATCCCATTAAAAAAATCCCATTGAAATCCCATCAAACAAATTCCAAATTTTCCCCTGACCAGGTCTTCCATGTCAGATAATCATCTCACACGTGTATATGTATGTGTATGTATATATATATATATATATAGAGAGTAACTTTCTCTCATACACATACATACATACATACATACATACATAGACATACATAGACATACATAGACATACATAGACATACATAGACATACATAGACATACATAGACATACATAGACATACATACATACATACATACATACATACGTACATTTGCGCTTATATATATATATACATATAGATACATATACATGATTACATTACAATGTATATACGGATCACTACGCAATATATATATATATACATAGATAGATATAATCAACATGTGACAATACGTGACACGATCGCTATATATGGCTATATATATATATTACATATAACACATATTTCATACACAAAGATCGATATAATTTTGTCTATTACATTATACGATTAAAGAAAGCTAATAGGAATGCCCGAACATATAGAAACATAGAATCATGCCAAAATGCTCCTGAGAATTGTTTGTTTTACCTTTTTCGGGGGTTACACAAATGATATAAAGGATAATTATGTTAGTATTCTAACTTCTTTCGGTGTTGGATACAACATGATACAAACTAGTTGCAATGTATACATGACATATATACTACAGCAATCATATTTAGGCATCTAAATTTGTTGTCTAGTTTTTATTGATGACATTAACCTTTGGAATACAATCTAATCTGATCTAACTCATCCACTCTTTCGCATCTTTGCTGTGCCTAATCTTCCGCAGGACGAGGATCTCTCCGCGGATGCTTCCCTCTCGCGGGCCCTGGAGCTGTTAGCTCGTGGCCAGCCGGCGTGCCGCACATCGCTGGAGCGGGGCGTTTCGGGAGAACTGGGGAAAATCATTGAAGATCTGATCCCAGATCTACCCTCTGGTTATGTCAAAATAGCTATTGAAAATGGCGATTTATAGTGCATCTACCCATTGAAAATGGTGATTTTCCATAGTTATGTTAGTTTACTAGAGGTATCCATTCAAAAGCAAAATTATGTATTATATCTCCAGTTGTATCCCCATGATATTGCCATTATAATCCTGATTGGTGGTGACTGGAACCATGGAATTTTGAATGACTTTCCATTCAGTTGGGAACGTCATCATCAACTCATTTTTTTCAGAGGGGTGGCTCAATCACCAACCAGTTGTGATTGTTACGGTGGTTACAACCAATGAGATTGTTGATTGGATATTTCAGAAACAACCAATATCCTTGAAATATCCCATGATATTGCCATTACAACCCATTAAAAATAACCAAAAATGATATTGCCATTATAACCCATTAAAAATATCAAAAAAATGGATATTGCCATTATAACCCATTAAAATATTGCCCATTCAAAGCAAATCCCTTTCCTTTTGGGCTGCTCTATGACTTCCACGACGCAACGATTCGCAGGACAGCCTGGACTCCCTGGATGACGAGGCCGACAACGCCGTTTCCGGCGGCGACAACGCCACGCGGGTGACGCTCTTCCAGCGGGCCTTTGGGCAGATCATGGAGAGGGCGGAGGAGTCCTTCCAGGCGATAATGGTGGGATGAATGGTGGGATGGTGGGATGCTGGGATGGGAATCCATATAACAAAGTGGGCCCCCCTAGTTATAAGTTGGTTTATAACCCAATCTAACTAGTTCGTTATAACTACCATAAACCCTAGTTATTGTAGTTATAAACCAACTTAGCTATATTGGGGGCCAATTGCATATTATCATTGATGTTGATGAATTGGACATGATCATTGCGAACATCATTATCATTGATGTTGATGAATTTGATATTTGAAATATATCCCAGGCCCAGTCCCCTTCATCGTCAGGTCTTCCGAAGCGTGGTGCAGCTCACCCCTGTGGCCGTCTTGTTGCAGGAGATGCCAAGAAGATGGATCAGTCATGGGGATACAGTGGATACCCCAAGCTCGCTGGTTTCATGAAAGATCCACCAGGGTTTCCATGGGAAGTTTATGGGATCTTATGGGGATTCTAATAGGGGAAACTATATATCTAATTATATCTAACCAACAGAAAAATGGGATGTTTAGCAACCGTAAGTCAATGGCCATTTCAGGGACCTAAAATGGAGGTACGTTAGTACCATATAAATCCATATTTCAGGCCATATTTTCTAGGGATATCCCCTGCAATTTAGGCCTGAAAAATAAACCTCATATATGGAATCGGTACCTCCAATAAATCGGAACCTGTTGCATGGCCCGTGATTTCATGAAAGATCCACCAAGAAAAATGGATAAATGGCCCTATGACACTATGACTTAGGAAACCTCCAAAAATGGGGGGTTTGGTGATTCGAAGTGGACCCATGACCCAAAACTGTTTGGATTCAGAGTTTTGCTTCCGCAGGCACGTTTGACATTAAAAGGTGTCTTTGTTTTCCAAGCATGGAGCCAATTAGATTCATGATGTCTCTGGTTATTTTTTGGATATTCCTGGAAGGATTCAATATTTGGTGATATTTTCTGGACCTCCACTAAATGGAAATCCTTCAATCGGGACGATACTAAATGGGTGATCAGAACCCTCCCCTAGAACATTGGTTCACATTGGTGGTAGAACAAGGGGACTGGAATTCATGTGGGTAAACCTATGGGTTAATTTTAATGAACCATCCCCCAGTCATCACCATGTTTATAGGTGGTATATGGTGGTATAAACCATCCCCAAATGGGTGGTTCAGTATTGTTTTACCCACATTAGTTACTGTAGTTATAAGTTATAAGGATCATACACATTCATAAACCATAGTCATTGGAATTATAAACTAACTGTATAAACCATTCCCAGTCATGGGTGGTTTATTTTCGACATCATGACATGGTCCCACATTTTTTTGGGTGTACCCTCTGGTAATTTAACATAGCTATGGAAAATCACCATGTTCAATGGGAAAATCCACTATAAATGGCCATTTTCAATAGCTATGTTAAATTACCAGAGGGTATTATTTTTTCTTTTCCCCTCATAAAGGCGCTGCCATTTCTGTCGATTTCAGGAGCAGCATCAATCCTTGGTTCTGGAGCGCTTGGCCAGCTTTGGAGGTGCGATCCATGATCCTGAAGCCCAGAAAGATTTTACCATGAATGTTGTGACTACCTGTGTGGAGAGAGATGTACGTGTATATATATATAATTATAGAATATGTAATATATATATACATATATATATATATAACATATATATATATATTGCATATATATATATCATATATATTTGTAACACACACACATATATATACATGTAAATATATATATATATATACATGTAAATATATATATATATATACATATATATACTAGATGAATTGGGAGCTGGACAAGCCAATGATGGAGAATATTCCAGTGAAAGATCCGATTTTTTTCAGCGACTGGGGGAGACTTTTGTCTGGCCCAGATTTCATGGTCACTGGACTAGCTATGGAAAATCATAAAGCAGTGACCCAAAACGGTAATCACTAGTGACTAGTAAAACCCAGCATAGTCCATGAAATCTCATTAATCTATGGTTAACCTATGGTTAATATACGGTTAATAATGGTTAATAATGGTTAATCTACGTATATATATATATATCATCATTATGTCACCAAAAAAACCATATACCGCCATATCATGCCATATCCACCATTTTGGTTGGTGAAATGCCCAGTTTTCCTTATGGTTTGGCTGGCTATCTCATCACTTGCCACTTCTCCATGAGAATCCCATCAGAATCCCATCAGAATCCCACAAGATGGGGCCCCATAGTAGCTAAGTTGGTTTATAACTATAATAACAATACTGAATGATACTTATAACTATGGTTGGTTATTTTTTCACTATACTATCATACTATAGTTGGTTGATTATACAATATTTAGATGGGGTTACAAGACAACAAACATCATGTTTGGGGGCCCCATCCTGCATGACAATCACCATGTTTTTGCATCACTTGGACCCAAAAATCTCCTCGAAAAGGCGCCCTAGCGGCTCCCGAGACGCGCTGCGCTGCCCAAGCGCTCGGGGTGACGCTGGCCTTCCGTGCGGAGAGCGAGGACTTTGTTTGGCAGGCCAGGCCGCAGAGTTTCTCCCAGAAAACAATCATCCCATTGGAATACCCTCTGGTTATTGAACAGTTCGCCATGGTATAGATGGCCCATTTATAAATTGGTTACCTATTAAAAATGGTGACTTTCCATGGCTATGTTAAATAACCAGATGGTAATCCAATACTCCAATCATCTCCAATCATTATCTCATCCAAGAATCCAATTGTTTTCAGAATGGGATAATCCAATGGGATAGTAATAATCCAACCATTCATCCAATAATCATATCGTTGAATGATCATTCAATAAACAATCCAATCCAAAAATCATCGATACCTTGTTAAAATTTTCATGTGGGTGAAGTTCATGATATGGGTGAATGAAATTTCATGTTTATGGTGGGTTTATAATGCCAATCCTGATCCGAATGTCATGACCAAAAAGGATTTCCCATAGGTCTGGCTCGGGTCAAATCCGTCGATTCTTTGGGATTTGGAATGTCCAGTGGTAACTGACTAATCTGTTGGAGCTAAAAATTGGCGAATTACTGCATAGTTAAGTTATATGATATTTCTAAATTTTCTAATCACAGGTCAGAATTGTTTCTATATCGTGGTTTCTTTAAACAACTCAGATATTTACAGCTTTTCTAACTCTTCTGGGACTGTTTTGTTATCCATCCTCCATGAAAAAAGGAGAAATGACGGTCCCCATTCACTGCCCCATATCGTTGGGCCTCACGGCCTGGTAATGACCAATGAATTCACAGAACCTGAAAAACCCATGAATATTCATTACCCTCTGTTAAATTAACATAGACCCTGAAAATGACCAATTTATAGTGGAAACTAGTCTTCCAACCCCTATCTGGCAGGGTCTATGTTAATTTACCAAAGGGTAAATGAATTATTTATTGCTTAAATGATCAAAAAAAATTAAATCCGTGACCTTTTCGGTAGTTAAGCCATCATGTTTTTTCGAGGTAACAAAAAACATCCATGATTATTTGGTGCTGACCATCCTACTATCTCCAACATAAATTTCACTATTGGTCAGTATCTCCAATGTACATTGGATCCGAGAATTTCTTGGTTTTCCCATTTAGATCCATTAAATACGGCCTATTCTCCATTAGATCCCATAAAAATTGAAGTTCCATTTCCATGAAATGGGCCTATTCTCCATGTCAATCCAGAATTGATGAAGTCCCAATCCATAAAAAAAGGACCTCGAAATTCCCTGCTGATCCGGAAAGGATTACGAAATCTGGTAAGCGTTTACAGTTTGCGAACTGGAAAGATCCACCATCTTTAAGAACGGTAAATCAACGATTTTTATGGGCCATGTTCAATAGCTATGTAACAAATTGCCAGGTATATCCCATAAAAAGTGGATTAGGATCCCATTAAATCCCATGAAATTGCCATTAAAAACCCATTCACCACCGCGAAAATCGAATTAAATCACCATTGAAATCAGTGTAATTACGAAAAAAACATCCCATTCAATACCTACCCTCTGGTAATTTAACGTAGCTATTGAAAATGGCCATTTATAGTGGATGTTCCCATTAAAAATTGTGATTTTCCATAGTTATGTTAGTTTACCAGAGGGTAACTGTGACAACTTACCAGAGAGTCATCCCCTTCCAGGTCTTCCAAGTGCTGGGTGCAGCACAGATGTCGGGCAGCCTGCGCAGCTTGTCCTTCCCCGTGGCCATGGCGGGGCTGCACCACTGGCGTCGCTTCGTCACGCAGCCGGGCGCTGCGAAGGTGGCTTTGGGCTTCAAGGAAGGCTCCAAGGCGGGGGTTTCCCAGTGGTTTCCATAGGGTTTCCATGGGAAGTTTATGGGATCTTATGGGGATTCTAATAGTGGAAACTATATATCTAATTATATCTAACCAATAGAAAAATGGGATGTTTAGCAACCATAAGTCAATGGCCATTTCAGGAACCGATTCACTGGAGGTACCTACCATATATAAGGCCTATTTTTCAGGCCTAAATTTCAGGGAATATCTCCAGAAAATATGGCCTGAAATATGGTACTAACGTACCTCACTTCAGGATCCTGAAATTCCCCTGGATCTTATGGGGATCTTATGGTGATTCTAATAGACCTAATAGGGGGAACTATAGATCTAACAGACAAATTGGATGTTTAGCAACCATAAGGGATATAAATAAGGATATAATGATATATATAATGATAGAAATAACAAAAGTGATCGTTGGGTTTGTCTGAACAAATTAAAATACGGGACAAACCCGTACGATGGCACTGGCACTTTGTGGAATTTACGAGAGACATATTGGGGGCTTTTCCCCTCAATTTTCAGACCCATCTGGATGGTTGACAGGATCTGACGCAAGGGGTTGCTGATTCCCAGCCTGGAATGTTTTTATTTTTTTTGAAAGGGACCCTATCGCTATGTAGAATGTGTATATTATTGTATATTTAAATATGAATATAGATATTAGTATGTCAATATGAAGATATGTATATATAGATATTAGTATGTCAATATGAAGATATGTATAAATTATATTTATTTATACATATCTGAGTGTGGGTGGAAATGTGGATTGAATATAAGTTGAAATTTCAAACCACTATAACATACTATAACTGTTATTGAATTACAACAGCTGTTTGAATTAAGGCAAGCGATACTTAGGTTCATCTTTGGTTTGGGAAACAATGCTTGGCTCAAGGGCAGAGCATCAATTTTCAAGGCGACGTTTGGCCCCGCCATGGCGGCCGTGGCAATGAACTTCAATGCAGAACTGCTGAACGGCAGGCGAATCGCCATCCCCATCCCGTTGAACATGACAATCAGAGAGTTGAAGGAAGAACTGAAGGATTTCCAAGCGACAGATGAAACTGCCAAAATGCTCAGCGCTGTAGTCCCATTATCGTTGAGGGGGAGCAGTTCAATGACCTTGAGGCCATAGCATGTGCAGCCTGTGTTCAGCATGCCGCCGCCCATTCTGTGCATCATGAAGGAGCTCGCTGGTTGCAATGTGGAGGATTTGCGCGACGTACGCGTTCCCTTCCCCCAAACAAGGATTCCTACTAATGGCTTTGAAGGTTGCCATGCCCTGCTGCGGGTTGATATTGCAGACTCGGTGACTCAACTTGGGAACTTTGCCTTTAGAGACTGCAGCTCTTTAAGGGCTGTGACCATCGAGGGTGTGACTCAAATTTCAATTGGTGCCTTCCGCGGCTGCAGCTCTTTGACTGCTTTGACCATCCCCAGGTCTGTGACAAGAATTGGACATGCTGCCTTTCGCGGATGCAGCTCTTTCGCAAGCCTGGTCATCCCGGCAACTGTCATGTCTATCGGGAATGATGCCTTTGCTGACTGCAGCTCTTTAAGAAGTTTGGCAATCCCCGACGCTGTGACTGGAATCGGAGAGGGCATCTTTGATGGCTGCAGTTCCTTGACGAACCTGAAAATCCCACGGGGTGTGACAACCTTTGGAAAGCGCGCCTGCATTGGCTGCAGCTCTTTGACAAGATTGGCCATCCCTTCCTCAGTGACGGAAATCGGAGAGGCGGCATTTGCAAGATTTTGCGAGTTGCAGCTCTTTGAGGAGTCTGAGCATCCCTGAGTCTGTGTTGAGCATTGGGCGTAATGCCTTTGCTGCCGCTCCTTGACCAGTTTGGACATCCCAAATGGTGTGACTGAAATTCGGGATGGAACCTTTGATGGTTGCAGCTCTTTGATGACTTTAAGCATACCTACATCTGTGGCCCAAATTGGGCAAGGCGCCTTTGTTGGCTGCAGCTCTCTGACAACTTTGACCATCCCAGAGTCTGTGACATGCATAAAGGATGGCGCCTTTGACGGCTGCAGCTCTTTGAGGATTTTGACATTCCTTCCGGGTCTGATGTCTATTGGAAACTATGCCTTTGCTGGCTGCAGCTCTTTGACAAGGTTGGACATCCCGCACTCAGTGACAGAAATCGGAGAGGGTGCTTTTGATGGCTGCAGCTCTTTGACAAGTTTGACCATCCCTGAAACAGTAGGGAAAATCAAACCGTGTGCCTTTGATGGTTGTATGTCTTTGACAAATCTGCAGCTTCCAAGATCTTTAGGAGCTGCAGGCGCCGTGCAAAATGATGGATGCGATGTGATTTTTCTAGCCAAGAGACGTCGCACATGATGATTTTCTCCGACAAAAGTGGAAGATGCTGCATGGGAATGGGTTGCATCCAGACCCCCTAAAGTTGGATGATTACTTTGGCATAGCATGGCACATGATGGCATTTTATTTGTTGCTCTTTCTTGAAATATCAGCTGCAAAATGATGCTGTGCGAGAACTCTCTGGAGCTCAGTGCGGCTGCAATTCCTGCCATGAAAGATGCTGGTTGATAAGTAGATCATGTGGCAAATATTTGGTAAATATTTGGGTTTTCAAACTTTGAACCATGTATCTAATGCCAAACAACATCTCATTTCAGCAGCTTTGGGCGAACCACTGCTAAAGCCTGTTGCCATTCAGATAGTCTTCAACAAGATGCGGAGATTCCTGTCGCAGGTGGTGCAGTGGATGTCAGAAACCTTTGCCGACCAGGAGATCGGGACGGAATTTCACACGCCCCAATATGGCCGCTAGTACCCTAAATATCCCTAAATCACCCTGCATTTTGATGCATTTTAAGCGGACTTTCGGAAGGTTTGGATGGTATGGGTACCTGGTATTTTGGCACTTTGGGCGTCCCGAAACTTGAAAGAACTGGGTGTGAGACCAATCTTATCACTGAATGGAGAATCATTTGCCCGTGTATGAATTTTCGGTAATGCCAAAAGCAGTTTTTGTCAGCAAAAATCACCATGGTAAACCTGTAAACCTACATCTGACATTGTCTTCACAATTTCCATCAATTTCCATATGTGCCATGGTAAAAAAAAGTGTTATACATCCATATTGATGGATGGTCATCAATCCATTCACAGTGATTCTCAAGCCAATTACAGTAGTTGTTTATTTCGGATTTCATAAAAATTCCAGAGTGGGATGGAATGACCATGTCTGGATACCCAACCTGGTTATTTGTTACACTTCGCCATGGGATTTCGATGGCCCTAATCGAAATAGATGGTTTACCTATTACAAATGGTGATTTTCCATGGCAAACTGTTAGTCATAACCAGAGGGTCATATTTCGTAAACCTTGCAGCAACCCATGGTGCCTCGAATCTGGCCTCTGGTAACGTGGCAAAGGACATCTAAAAATGGAGGTTTTGATGATGACAATCGGAGAATTTCAATTACAACGGTTTGACGACACTGGAGCTGGTTGATGGTTTGGAACATTTGGATTATTTTTCCATATATTGGGAATAATCATCCCAACTGACTGGGTATTGTCATATACATTATCTGGTTGGTGGTTTGGAACATGTTTTTTTTTGACTTTCCATTCAGTTGGGAATGTCATACTCCCATTTGACGAACTCCATCATTTTTCAGAGGGGTAGGTCAACCACCAACCAGAGGGTATTGTTCTAAATCCAGTAGGTTATCAACCATTATTAATGTGAGATGGTTATTGTTCAATATTAGGTTCCCAATTTTTTCATATTCACCATGGACCTGGTGGCCCCCCCAACCAGAGGGTACAGTATGGAAAACTCCTCACCGAGGAGTTGTACAAAAAGTACTACACCGCCATGGAGCACGCGGAGAAAGTCTTGACCGGCGCAGATCAAGAGGATTGGGTTCTTGAGAAGGTGCCGCCTGGGAATGACCATGGATCAGAAAGTCTTCATGGATTGGTTTTGTTGGGAAAATCTTCACCGGAAACCATAGATTCCATTGATTTTCCCATGAAATATGGGACTTTCCGGCAAATTTTCCAACAAAACCAATCCATTGAGAAAGATGAAATGATGAAACATGTGTTTTCTGTGACAAATTGCACGTCGAGATTTAGATTTGGCAAGCATGAGGATGAGGTAAATAATTCCCATTGCGGAGGACCGATGGTCATATTTTGACCATGGCACATATAGTTTTAATTACAGTTTAATTTAACAGCCTATATACTGTATATGTATATATATATATACATGTATATAGATACATACACTAGTACATGCACACACCATAGATATATCTATCATAAACCCTAGTTATACCAGTCATAAATCAACTTAGCTATCATAAACGGGGGGCCTACCCTGATTTGCCTATGGAATATCTTTGTAAGCTACCAACTATATGCTAATCCTATATTTGTTACCCTTCAGGTGGTTTTCATATCTTGCATAGCTATGTCAAATTATCAAAGGGTGTATCTATCCCATTAAGGGGATTGTACTCCCATTTTAATGGGACTTTCTATGAAATAAACCATCCCAGTTTTCATGGGACACCCCCATTTACCCTCTGGTAAACATACAAAAAACTATGGAAAATCACAATGTTTAATGGATAATTCCACTACTTCTATGGCCATTTTCAATAGCTATTTTGACATAACCAGAGGGTATCGAAACCTCCAAATCCCGCCAGGCACGCCACATCCGCGTCGAGTCGGAACGCCGCGCCACGGTGGTGCGCTGCAACGCCGCCAGCTGCGCGCTGCTGGCGCTGCGCATGGACGCGGACGACGTGGCCGCGGCGTGGGTGGAACGAGGCCCAACTTGGTGTCACGGGATTGAAGGGAACATTTTTTCAGGATTTACCCTCTGGTAAACATACAAAAAGCTATTGAACATGGTCATAGAAATAGTTGATTTACCCATTGAACATTGGTGATTTTCCATAGTTTTTTGTATGTTTACCAGAGGGTACCATGGTTTTCCCCATGAAATTTCATGGGGGTTTCCTGATGTTTTTCTCTTAAACCAGTCCATTGTTAAGCTGGATGGCTATTGGGGATTAGGAACTAAACCGCAGGAGATTTCTGACTAATGGCCAGTCATATTGTGGTGAATTAGCAACTCCTGTTGATTCTTTGGCCTAATTGTTATTGTTATGGTTGATCGAATTATACTACCTGGTGATTAGCTTTTTTTGAACTAAAGCAAATATGCGTGGGAAACCTCTGAAAGCTATCAAGCAACGATCGTGCAATGAGATGGGAAAACGGGGTATTTTTCATGGCAAAAGGGTGAGTTTCGATCAGCAAAAGAGATTGGTCTGCCTGAAAATGGGGTATACCCCGATGGAGAAAACACATTTCAAGGATCCAGTAATCAGAAAATGTCATGACTTAGGTCACACAGATTTTTGAAAATTTATCATTATAGTAGATAGATAGATAAGCACATAAATCATTGAGCAACTTATCACGCAGATACATAGATATAGCAATATTATAATAACAACTAATTATAATGCTACGTATATTCATTGACATAATACAGGGTTTGGAGATCTACTGTATACGATAAATGGATATTTACACCAATATAGATAATACATAATAGATCATTATAATAGACCATAGTGGTAACAACACAAATACAAATTTATATGCATTTGACCTATAATTTTTGACATATAAACATATCCCATGAAATATTCCAGTCATCATCTTGACTATATCCCATGTCATGAATCTTCCAATGATTTTCACCATCAAACAGCTGGTTGCTTAACTCCTGGTGATGTCTACCATCAAACACCTGTTTGGTTGCCTAACTCCTGGTGATTTCTGTTGGCTTGGTCGATGTTGGTCGCGCAGACATCCTGGTGATGTCTACAATGTGAGGCCCCCCAGTTATAAGTTGGTTTATAAGCCCCAGTAACTATAGTTATAAGTACCATAAACCATAGTTATTGGAGTTATGTTCACCAACTTAGATATCTTGGGGGCCTCACATTGTACCATCTGCAGGCGCTGCTGGCAGCGCCTTGTTCCAGTGCTTCAGTTCCGTCTTCGCCACCAAGCCACACACCATGGAGCCGCCCTTTGTGAAGCCCACGCCGCCGGAGCTGCTGCTGTACGCGGCGGCTTCTTGGTCACCCAAGGGGAAGCTGGGGCTGGGGGTTCTACTGGGGAGGTTGAGATATTAATCTTGATTTATAGATATGAAGATATATTATGATATAAAATGATATATAGATAGATAATTATACAGATAGAAATATGAATATATATATATATGTCTAGATGAACATGCGATGCTCCCCTTTTCATGTGCATATTCGTGCTACTCTTGTTGCTGCTCTCAACAGGCAGACTTTCATTAAGTGGCTAAGCATGGTTTGCTTCATGTCACATCTTCCATTCCTGATTGAATCAATCTTGCTTTCAGCGGGACATTTCCAAGCCGAGGAATTTCGACGCATTTTTCCATGGCTTTCTCCATGTTGCCCCATCATCCTCAGGGCTTGGTGATTCACAGTTTTGCCCTGAGGAATTCCTGCATCTCCTGCTGCACTTGAAGGCACGGCGGGGAACTCCCGCATCATGGAGCTGTTTTTTCCAACGGGCCGAAGATGATCAAAGATGGCCGGGTTTCAGAAATCCATGGGAAAACTCATTGGTGGTGACTGGAACCATGGAATTTTGAATGACTTTCCATGAAGAGTTGGGAATGGAATGTCATCATCCCAACTGACGAACTCACTCACTCCATCATTTTTCAGAGGGGTAGGTAGGTATACCACCAACCAGATTATTGTTCTAAATCCTATGGTTAATAACCTTATTTGAACAGTAATGGTTGATAACCTAATAATCCTATGGTTCATAATCCTATGGTTAATATCCTAATATTCTATGGATATCGCCGGGAGGGATCCCACTTGACCCCCGAGGAGCCAGCCGAGGAAGAGCAAGCCGTGTGAAGCTCAGTTTTCTTAGGATAACCTTGGTAGATTGATCGGTTCATTATGGTTCAGTATGGTTCATGGTTAAGTATGGTTAATTATTAGATATGAATGATATGTTAAGAAACTAATTATGGTTAATTACTAGATATGAATGATATGTTAAGTCACTAAGCATGGTTAATTATTAGATCTGAATGAATTGTGGCCAACTATGGTTAAGTTCTTGCAGCTCGGAAAACAACGACCCAAATCTCTCAGATCAGCCTTTTGAGATGGGTCAAAATCTCACCAGTGATCTGTGATGTTCCATATACCCTCTGGTAATTTAACATAGCGAACTGGAAAATCACCATTTTTAATGGGAAAATCCACTATTAATGGTCATTTTCAATAGCTATTTTGACATAACCAGAGGGTATCTAGTTTAAAAACATGATAATAACATGGTAATATGATAAACATGCATTGGTAAAATGATGTGTGATTTGCCATATATCAATCAGGGATGAACAAAAACAGCTAATTAATTACCGGTACTACTTTTGATGTGCAAACATGGTGAAAAACCATGAAAACCATGGGGTTGTGGAATGTTTTGGACATGGCCACGCCACCTACCTCCACTTGCTCGAAAACCCCCAAAAACCGCAGCCGCTTTTTTTCAACGGCCCGGACCTGATTTGCCGAAGTGTTACGATCCCATTGGTGTGACCCGGACCGTGCTCTCCGCGCCGGCGTCACAGAAAACTGTCTCAAAATGGAGAAGTCATGGCCTCAGAACTTTTTTTTTTTGAGTGATTAGGCCATATCACGGGTGGTTCATGTCTATGGAAAGCGAGAAGTGGCAGTACATCATGGGATTATTGGGATTATATACATACATATATCATAATGATAATCATAATATCTACTGTATATCTCATCATATCTATCTATCAATCTATATATCTATATATCATCATATCTATATATCAATCTATCAATCTATCTTTATCTCTCTCTACATATATATATAATATTATCTACATCTGTCAATCAGTCAATCTTGCTATCAATCTATATGCTATATATCATCATCTATATTTCTATCTATATATATATATATCTATATATATATCTATATATCTATCTATATATCCATATATATATATATATATACACCATATCCATATATCATATTTTCATATATACCAAGCATATGTAGAGATGGAATATATAGATACAACCTCAAGCCTCCGAGTTGTCTCAGGTCAGAGCAGAACAGCCGAAGCCAAGAGATGGAACAGTCCGAGAGGCCCGGTGGACCCGGGAAGCTCCGCCGTTCGGAAGCTCCGGTGTCCCCAAGAAAAATGCAGGTTTTGAGGCAGTGTTCATGGGAAAATCATGGGAAAATCCAATGGAAATGTCGGTTTTCATGGAAATCCACTGGAATTATGTCGGGTTTTAATATGTTTATAGCTGGGAAAATCGTGGGAAAATCCATTGACAATGGATGTTTTCATGGCGGTTTGAATGGGGAATTCCCACGAACTAAATGGAAACTTTTAGTTGGGAACATCATTGAACTAAATGATGGATTTTCCAGCAAGCCATGTTTGATTACCGGAAATCCATGGTTAGTTCTCTTGGAAACGGTCAAAACATACTATCAGCGTGTATGTTTTAAGCACATCTATGCTAGTCTAGTTTACTGCTAAGTAGATGGGACTGATATTCAATGGATTGGTTTTGTTGGGAAAATCTTTTAACCGGAATCCATAGATTTTCCCATTAAATCTGGGGTTTTCCTGTAAATTTTCCATTAAACCAATCCATTGAGATATGAAAACACGACAAACATATTGTATGACCAATGACCACTTAGGTAACTGACAGTTTCACGGATGCAGACATCCTCGCAACCGATCGGGGACGACCCTTTAGCTTAGCGGCGGAACAAGACGACGCCGTCATTAGCGTGAATTTGAGAAGTTTACCTATAACAAACATTTTGATGTAGCAATTTCAGGGATCCTCCATGATCCTCCTCTAAAATCTGGGTGATGGGTTCAAATATTGTTTGTTTGTACCATGTTCAACCATGATCCCAATCCCCCGTTAAATAGCCGCAAAGAAAAGCCTAGTTTAGTACCGGATCTATTCATTTTTATTGGGGGTCCTAATATGATTTTTTTACGGGGGATTTGAGATGATAGGGATGGGAGTATTTGGTTGATACCACTTGGTGGCTCATTACACTTAGTAAGTGGGTTATAACCCCAGTTATAAATGGGATAAGTAGGGTTAATCCACTTATAACTGGGGTTATAACCCACTTACTAAGTGGGATGAGCCACCAAACATCAACCAGGGCTTCAAAAACACCCTGAAGTTCCTGTTCCTGTCACGCGTAACGACTCATCGCACTGTGAGGCATTCACAGCGCATGCCTGCAATGCACCACAGCAAGGAGAAGAACGATGAATCTCTGCCGGGAACCTCAGATCCATTGACTGGGAGATCCACTACTGGAGAATCCATTGTTTGGGAATCTGGAACACTGTTCCATTTTTGGTGAAGTTCCTTAAGCAAATCCAAAATTCAGTTACTGGTGGGTGGTTTGGAACATTTTTTTATTTTTCCATATATTGGGAATCATCATCCCAACTGACTATTTTTTTTTTCAGAGGGGTAGGCTCAACCACCGACCGGTATATAATATAGGTGTTTCCATGTTATACCCACTATAATTAACCCCTTCTGGGTATAGCTATCTCCAACCAGCCGATGGATGTCCAGAGGCACGCCGCGAACCGTTCCGAGCTCGAGAATGTCACAGAGCACAAGGAACAAAGGCGCGGCGTTTTTCGCTGGGAGAAGGGGGCTTTCTGCTTAGGGTCAGAACTTTGGTAAATTTGGGAAAAAAACAACCAAGTTGATAATTTCATGGTGATTTCATGGGATTTCATGGTAGTTTTATGCGATTATGGTGATTTACTGGTGAAGTAATGTGGCTTCCAGCCATTTATATCATGGGATACAGTGGATTAATAATGGCATCTGATGGAGAGATGTGGCCTGGGAAACCCACTCACCAAGCGATGGAAAATCACCATTTGCAAACACGTGAAGAATCCAAATGTGTCATGGCTTCCATAGCAAATTGTTGAATTACCAAAGGGTAACCCGAAGCCTTGGGGTGATATCTTACTTATAGTGGCTATAAGGTCGGTTTCAGATGTGATCAGAAGGTGGATCATAAACGCAGCTCTCTTTGATATGCTTGGAGATATTTAACCCACTAAGCACTTGTAACTTCATGGCTCTGAAGATACCTTGGTATGTCTCCGTTAATGTTGAACTCCTGGTTGACAAATATTGATTATACAGGGTTGCGTGTCCCCGACTGACTGATGTCTTATGACATATGGGTATGGGTCAATACCTATAGATACATTTTTAGTGGGATGAACAGCTATTTTGGGGTTCACTCGGGGTACAAGGTTTTGACACACTGCCATATCCCACTTCATATACCCTCCGGTGTCATCAAACTATTCCCCTGAAGCTAGATGGAGCTTGATCGCTGGGAAAATCCATGAAAATCATTGAAAATCCACATATATCATCTACAAATGGTGCATTTTCAATAGATTTCCAAAGAATTTGACCAGGAGGTGCTGTTCCAATGGGCAGGTACAGCTCCAACCGTGCTCAGAGCCGAAGTCGCAGTGCTCCAAGGGAGGACAACGAGAAAGAGGCGCGGTAGTAGCACTAGGCTTTTATGGGATATTTATGGTAAAGAATGGACAAGAAATATCTATGATTTATGGATGTTTAATGGATGTTTAATGGATGTTTATGGATGATTGTGGATGATTGTGGATGATTGTGGATGTGTATGGATGTTTATGGATGTTTATGGTTTATGGACGTTTATGGATGTTTATGGTAGATATTAGATATATCTATATTAGTTAGTGGATGATGACGGTCGTATGGTAGATGTATCTATTGCTGATTATGGTAATATGGTAGTTTGATGCTAATGGCATTTACAAAGCAACTTCCAACTCGGGGGCGAGAAAGCTTAAAAATGGGTTTGTAAAATATTTAACCCAGACCCAAGTAAGCATCGTCAGAACCCTCCTGAATACAATTTAGGAAGAGTTGTGTCATATGACTGGGTCGCGTAAGCAAAACCCTGGGTTTCGTAAGCTGGCGTAAGCCACTTTTGCAAAATACCATGCGTAAGCCCTGGCGGCCCTGGCGTAAGCTGTTTCATGCCTCTGGCGGAAGCAGTTCCTGCGCGTTTTAAGTTGAACCTGTCAGCGTAAGCTTCGCGTAAGTCATTTTATGTACATGCCTGCCGCGTAAGTCAAAGCTGCGGTCGCGTAAGCATAGCGTAAGGTCATGTCAGGTCTAGGGTAGGCAATGTTATGCGACATAGGCTGGTAATCACGTTTTCGGAGAAGCTCAAGTGATAGCTTGTTCTAAACCAACTGGGCTAACGAACTGGGGCTCCACTTTGTAGGGAGTAAATCAAATCAAGATCACGGACATTCCAATTTGGACCATTTCCCATCCATTTCCCATCCATTTCCCTTCATGTTTTGGCTGTTTACCTGGGGCACACGGGTTTTGAAGTCTACCACGAACGATTTACCCATGAACTCACAGTGTAAGCTATTATATATAAACACATGATATAAGGAAATTCTTTTAGGTGATAGTTCCAGTTGCACTATTTCGAAGTTCATCATCATTTTTACTACAGTTCCCATGATTGTACAATACTAATAATGCTATACTCACAATTTATATTCTACATTCTACATGTTATTACTTCATTTTGTCATGTGTATGAACGATATATTACTGAATGGTAAAGCCACTATAGTAGGTATATATTTCCCAATACTGATGGCTTATTACTTATTCCCAATTGTGAATTACCATCATGTTTATTACAGATATTTTCTTGCATTCCCAAATGGTGGTTTCCTGAAATGGGGGTACCTCCAAATCATCCATTTATAGATGGATTTTCCATGATAAACCATCCAGCTATTGGGGTATCCCCATTTATCGAAACCCCCAAATATCTCCAAGGGTCAGACTCACAGATTTTGCCCATCTATCTTAGTACTTTTCATTGTATTTTCCCAGTTAATCACTAATATTCCCAATTATCATCGTACTTTTCTTACATTCATGGGATAGATACATATATCTGGGTAAATTAGAACGGCCTCACTGTTCTCCCGAACCCTGGAATCATGGTTGGTGAACTCTTATAATATATGAATATTCATCATTCTCATATGGCTATGAATCAATACCTATATTAATACAATTTTTAGAGGGATGAACATCCATAAATCCCAGCTATTTTGATGTGAACTACAGGGGTACTATTGGTTTTGACCCACTGCCCATTCCCTTTCCAACCTGAGTCACCCATGGGTACCCTCTGGTGAACTAACATAGCAATGGAAAATCACCATTTTTAATGGGAAAATCCACTATTTCTATGGCCATTTTCCATTGCTATGTTAGTTCACCAGAGGGTATTTCCTAAGATGTGGGGATTCCCCAAAAAAAAACCATGGGTCCCATGGCTCCATGGGTCGCCAGGCTCGGAGCCAGAGCCTGGGACTGCCGCACTCGCGGCGTGCGCGCCGGCCGCATCACCGCCGCCGCTACACACGCGGCTCGGTGGCAAGCAGGTTTTTCCAGGGGGGGTCGAGGTGGGAGGTCCAAGTCCCCACTGGAGTCACTGGAATGATGGTGATGTTTCGGAAAAATCATTCTCAAAACTATCCCATATGCTCCATGTATGGAATATTTACCAACATTTACCCCATAAATGACCCAAATGTAGGTAAATATACTATACATGGAGCATATGGGTATCATAACTGGCCTTGGAATGATGTCTCAGCGATTGTCGGGCTTGTCTTTTTTTGTTGAAACCAGATATTATTCTCCCAGAGGATGCAACAAGATGCATCCAGTTGCGGGACGCACAAAAGCGCTGTGAATTTCACGCCAGATCTGTTTCGTGGAATGACCAAAGCCTTTTTTGATGTGTTTCCAATGGCGCCTCTGCTGCATTCGGCACGGTCATTTTTACTCAAATAGTTCGATGTTTGTAGTGGAATATTCGCCTTGACTCTGATCCCCCTGTGAGCCAAGCATAGCCAAGCAACAAGACAGGCACGTGAGTAGACATGGAAGAGTGGATGTCGGATATGTGCCACTGATATGTGCTCTGGATGAATCGCAGATGAAGCGGTTCTTCGACAAAGCGCGTGCTTTGGCCGAGGAAATGGAACAAACTTGTCACATTTCCAAACGCGACCAGTTGATGTAGCGATGGTTTAAACATGTTTAAGATATGTCAAAATCATTTACCCCTAAGCCTAAAACTATTGGATGATAAGGGTCCAATTTGTCAAAGACTTTGTTGACATTTCCTTTTTGTCCGATTCTTAGGCACCAAATCATAATTTCGACTTTCATCCGAGCATGTTTTTGGGGAAATCTTGCTGAACCACCAAGCAGTAACCAGTTGTCCATTGTTTGGGGGGGTGGTCTGGACCCTCTGGTAATTTGTTACTTAACATCATCATGTTATATATATATATGGTGTCAACCCCGGATTAATAGACCATGGTTTATTAATTAGGTGGGTACTCCCCAAATAGTCATAATCTAATACTTACATGGTACCCTGCCAATTAAACAGCCTAGTGGTTTATTAATCCAGGGTTGACATTATATATGTTAAATATCATTGAAACATGGGTCATGTTCCAAAGCTTCAATTTTTATTACCAGAGGGGTAGCCATTCTGACAGGACCATCACTGAGGCACAGCATTGGAAGGGTGGTCTGGTTGTTATGAAGAGAACGCAATTGGAAAGGCGTCCAGCGTTGTTCCTGGCGCCTTTTCTGAAGAAATCTGCAGAGGACAAGACAAAGACAAAGACTGATGGTGGAAAAAGACCAAGAGCAGAGAATTGTTGGAGACGAACTAGTATCAGATATCAGATGGATACTCAAGTTGGATCCAGATATGTCATTTTGTTTGCCTGTTTGGATGGACCTTTTTCACCCAGCCGAAAGGTTCGGCAGTCAGAAGAAAATCACACAAGATCGTTGCGGCGACGATCAGAAATTGCATCTTGCTCATACCAGTTTCAATGAATGTTTGCCTTTATAGCACCGATTTACCGATGGGAAAGTGCAGCCCAGCCCACATCGTTCTCTGCAATGAGTCTACACTACATTACAAGCACGGATTCCTTATCGTTTAAGCTTGAGGGCAAATTGATTGTTGGGCTGGGCTGAGATTTCCCGCTGTAGTAAATTTCAGATGGCCTTGTTCTTGAACTCTGCTCAGGTTTTTTTTTTCGGCTAGTGCCCTTTTTGAGGAAGGTTGCAGTCGACCGCGATGGCAGCCCCTTGCTAACAGCTATACTTGGTCCCTCAGCTGCTTAACCACAAATCAGCGGTAGCTTCCGTTCCGCAAGGGACCATGATAACAGAAATTCCCTTCAAACATTGTAGACCTGCCAATTCTCGTGGCATCAATTCTTGAGGTGCCTAGTGCCCTGGTGATCTTGTGAGCCAGTGATGTAGGCATGATGATCATGATGCTTCAACTGCTCTCAACGCGATATCATTGCCCCATCGCGGTTCGTGATGTGGGCGAGCAGATGTTGCTCGGAGATATTCCAAGAAAGACAAGAGCGTTCAGTGCCCAAGAGAGATGTATTTGTGTATAGTAGCAGCCGTAGTATCAACCCCGGTGTGGGTCAAAATCACTGTCATACGACTTGAAACTTACCTCGAAACATTCCATTTGAATCAACTTAAGATGTGTTTTATGACCACTTATGACCATCCGACCATCCGACAATCCCTTGAATTTTGACCCATGCCTGTACTGTACCCCAAGTCATATCAAGTCATGGCGACCATCACCTCGACCGCCTCAGGCCGCGTTTCGCGTTGCCCCTCACCCCACCGCTGCCGCCCCGCGGATTATGCCCTGCGCCGGGCGGCGTTGGCGGCAGAAGTGGCATGCCACGATGAGGGAGGCAGGGTGGAACGGTGGAACAATGGCTGGAGGTGTTTTTTTTCTCGTGAAATTGGTGGCATAAGACATTACCCATAGGATCCATGTATGCTATATATGATAACAATTGATAACATTTACCATGAATATACCCCCAATGTGAGCATATATGCCATACATGGATGCTATGGGTTATAAACCATTCTACTTTCATTATAATTTCTATTAAACTAACCATTCAATGGTGATATAATATTAATTAATAAGATGGGGATGTAGTTGGTGGTTCACGAAAATTTACTTGAAGCCTATGAATAGTCCCATGGGCCATCAAGCTGTGAGCCGCGATGTGGGGGTTGTCCTGTTTAAACCACATCTGGTTGAATGCTACCAAAGTGTAGACCAAATGCATAGCTGTTCCCAAAGCGTTACCAAAGTCAAAGTGAGGTACCGAAGTGAGTTCCCAAAGTGTTGCCTGTGTTACTAGAGTGTGAACGTAGTACCCCTCGTATGGGGAGAACGTAGCATGACGACAATGACGCAATGCTTCTTGGTAATGGTATCCCCCAAGGGCCCTACGTTCCTGCAGGTCCCCCCAACTCAAATCTTGGTTTCTGAGGGAAGTGTTTGTTGACCCAACTCGAAAGGCTTGGTGTGTCTTGGTGCACCAGAAAAAATCAAGCTGGTATATCACGTAGAATTCGGAATTTATCACCGCAAAATCATCTGGATACAAGCTAACAAGGTTAGCTTTGACATGAAAGCACACTGACAACCATGCATTTTTTGGCTGGAGGAGATCTAGACCAATTTCAATTTCTTACATTTTAAGCAGTGGATTTATCGGGGTGATCTGGACCCCATCTTTGGGGGCTGCCTTGCTGCTTTTCAGGACAAAGATGAGAATCCCTGTGGCCACTGAGCAATTTCGCTGTTCAACCGGCGTACTCGGCTGTTGTTGCCATGTCATCAGTTTCCACCGTTCGGGGGCGGCACAGAGACTGGCCCCCCTAATCCCAAAGCCCAACAATTTGTGGAAGGAAGGAAGAGCGGATGCCCGTTTAACAATTGAACACTTTTGTCTGAGCCTCACGTCTCAGGCTCAACCTGCGACTGGCGAACGTTTCAAGGGTAGCTTTTTTGAAAAAAGAGTTGAGGTTTGATCCATGAGTTAACACAGGGATCCGAATCCCTGAAGCCAAAACCATGGATGATCAATTATGGATATTTTATGGTTGTTTCCCATGCTGGCGCTGGTCTCCAAATTGGAAAGAGTTCCTGGCAGTAGCTTTCCGGTACTTCCACTTGTGTAGATGGCGCGTTCTGGATGCCCCCCTGCGCCCGATACCCCCATCGTGGCGTGGCATGTTGGGGTTTTTCAGAGCACTGCAGCGCACTGCACCAGCAACCGTACCTACGTGTTGCGAGAATTACCTTCCCAAAAAAAGGGATCTGCAGCCTGAGGATAGGGATAGGGGAATCCCACGGGACTGGAAGGTCATGATTGAATGTCTCATTCGGGATTTGCTTGGCTGACAATGGCAGGGGTTAGTATTTTGCGTATTTGCTGATGAATTGAAGTATCATGATGGCATCATTTTGTTTCATACTTTTAAATACAGAAGAAGTATTTGAGTCTTTCTGTTCTCTGTCGCCCCAACACCCGTGGTAGCGACATGCCTATTGGAGTTGCTTAATTAACCCCAAAAGTTGTTGGGGCCGGTGGTGCCAAGTATGTTATACTGCCAGTATAGTTTCAACATGTTTCAACCACACCTTGCACCTTGAAGCGTTTTTGTTGGTGATGATGATTCCAAGCCAAGGTCCAGGTCGTATTACATCCCAAAAGCGCTAGAATCTAGAACTTGACACATCTTAAAATCGTGAATCATCATCATCATCATCATCATCATCATCATCATCATCATGAAGACCCAAACCATCATCGTGAAACTATCCTTCAGGTTGAACTTTGAAAGAGCCTGAAACCGCTTGAAGCCCATGGGGTCTCGCTCCGCTCAGGGCCCGCTTCGCTCAGCGCCCTTCAAACTCTTGGACGACGCGGCGACTGGATGGGTAAAGTTGAATGGGCTTGTTGTGGAATTTCATGTGGGTTAATGGATGTTAATGGATGTTAATGGATGTTAATGGATGTTAATGGATGTTAATGGATGTTAATGCGTGATATAATGGGATACTATTATGATATATTATTATGATGATGTGGTGTATATATATATATATTGTATATTATTGTCTATCTATAATCTGGATATTTCTTTCGCACATGGATAAATATACAATACCAGCTGATGGCTTAAGTTTCTTTGCAAAGTATCTGAGATTAGATATTAGCCTTGCTTTTAACAAAGGGGGAAGGTTTTCCTGGATTGCCCAATAAAAGCGGTTTCATGATGTTTGGTTGATGAAATCTGATAGTTTGCCCATTGCCTTTGTTACAAGCGACATGGCGATCCCCCGCATCAACCGCCAGGGGACTAGCCTCTGGTAATTCAACAGAAAATCACCGGTTTTTGATGGGGTAAATCATTTGTAAAATGGGCCATGTTCATCCATTTTTCGCTAGTTGATGCTAGTTGGTTGTTTCCGGGGACGGCGGATTTAGTATTTCGAAACGATCCCAAGTGGAGCTCTGTGGTTTTTTCGGTATGCCTTATTTATCAGAAAATGAGTTCCACCGGATTCCGACAATTCCCAATGAACATATAAACCAGGCAGGCTGAGAATTGAGGAGCCCTATTTCACAAGCAATCAGCCATCAACCATCATCTACTGCTTGGTGGTTTGGAACATGAATTTTCCATTTCATATATGGGATGTCATCCGAAACCCATTGACGAAGTCATATTTTTCAGAGGGGTAGGTCAACCACAATGATCCCCAGATGCTTGCTGCTTAAAGCCATTTCATTTCTAGTAAGCTTAAGCTAAGAAAACGCTATGGAACATCCACCGTATGTCCTCTAAATCTATAAGGTGAGCCGCAAGTTATCAGTTGGTTTATAAACCAGATTAAATCCTATTAGCTAGTTCGTTTTATCCCCCCTAATCCCAAAACGCTGACCAAGCTATTTGCGTCAACCAACTTAGCGATTTCCATGATATTCCCACTACACCACCATTGTTGTTGGTTGTTGGCTAAACCCTAATCAACCTTAAGTTGTAAGTCAACATAGATAAGTCAGCTATACATCAAGTTAAAGTTAACTTGGCTATTTAGGCAAGAATGAGTGAGCTATTAGCTGTGCTATACATCTAAATCACCATTTTTCTTGGTTAAGTCCCATGAAATCACCATTTTTGCTGGTTAAGCATGAAATCACCATTTTTGCTGGTTAAGTCCCATGAAATCACCATTTTTGCTGGTTAAGTCCCATGAAATCACCATTTTTGCTGGTTGAGTCCCATGAAATCACCATTTTTGCTGGTTAAGTCCCATTAAATCACCATTTTTGCTGGGTAAGTCCCATTAAATCACCATTTTTGCTGGTTAAGCATGAAATCACCATTTTTGCTGGTTAAGTCCCATGAAATCACCATTAAATGAAACCATTGACTTGGGGTTGGTTCAGTGATTTCGCTCGCCACTAACACAAAGCCCACGCCATCACTGAGGCTCGCGCCATCCATCAGGTGAAGCCGGACAAGTCTCCAAGTGACTTGGCAGAAAACGATACGGAAAGATCGGTGAAAAATACGGTGGTTTTATGGTGAATTTATGGTGGTAACACATGGTGAAACACTAATTGTGAATGTATGGTGAAGAGGTTTTTTTTTGACAATTCTGATTGAACGAAGATTTTGAATATTTGATTGGGATTTTTGTTTGGTGATGGGAATTGAATGGTGACTTGGTGATTCCAAGGGGGATTTTGGTGAGATGTCATGATCACCCAAAGATGGGATGCCGAGTGATGGGTCCAGGGGTTGTAGGTTGGCATAGACTCAAGATCCTATACTTCCAGAAATGATGCTTACCCTCTGGTAAACTAACATAGCTATGGAAAATCACCATTTTTAATGGCAAAATCAACTATATAAATGACCATGTTCAATAGCTATTTTGACATAACCAGAGGGTAGATACTGCTAAGAAAGAGTTCTGGGATCATGATATATCATGATGTCATGGCTCAGCAAAAGGTCCAAGCAAAAAAAAAAAAACAACAAGGCGCTCCACGATCCTCTGGAAAAAACACATGACTCAAAAAAGAGGGCCAACGATCAAGCTGGTTGAATGGGTTGGATAGCTCATTCTTCTGGATCTGATGGCAAAAAATCAAAAAAATGGCTTGATATGGAGATTGTTCACTATCCTGCAGCTCAGCCTGGCTAGCAACTATGCCCATATGCAACCCATGGTGCTGGAATATTTATATACCAACATGACTACCCCAATTTTATGACCCAGTCAGACGTAGGTTTTTATATACCAGCACCATGGGTTGCATATGGGATGGCCACGGATTTTTGTTGGGTGCTGGTAGGCTGATCCTCTGCCAACCCACCACCATCCCGTAGATCCCGCGGAGCACAGGTTTGCCCAGCGGCTTCAGACCAAGTCGAGCTGAAGAGGAGCCCTTGGCCCTTGTGATGGGATGAGAAAGATTGTTTAGGATTGTTTCTATTTAGAGTTATCCTGGTACATAAACGTTTACATAAATGGATATAAATGGATATAAATGGCTCAAGTTTGGCTGTCAGACCAATGAAACTTCTAGCAGTTAGTCATTAGCAATGTCCTTCTGCAATGTCCACGGTTGCGATGACACAGAGGAGAGGCCTTTGTTGCCCACAGAAATGTCAGACTCAGACTCACGTGCTTCAGAAGACTCAGGCATCGTCGCACGGTGCTGCGATTTCACAAAGCGGCGATCTTCGTTGATTTCACCAATCGAAGTTGCAGAAATCGCGCGAGTATCTGAGCGAATCCCCCCATGCTATGACTATGATGGTGAAGCGATCGATTATTTTTCCCAGGAGGTTGGGCCATCTATTCCGCTTTTGTGGATGCTGAACGTGGCCATGTTGCTCCATGTCGCATTTTTCTTTTTGATCACTTGGTGTTTCAGGCGATGCCATCAGTCGAGCGCCTACCCGAGCAAGCCGATTTGGGCATGGGCGGTTGCTATTTGGCTGTTGCCATTGCGGCTGGTGGCTGAACACTTTGCCTTGAACTGTGCATTGCCACCCTATGTCCGAGATATGCTCAAGTACGAGTCTTATGAGACTGCTCTTGAGTTGAAAATGTTTGACATCAGCGGCTTTTCTGTGCCTTCTACCTATTGGGTTTGCTACTGCCTGATTCTTACGGCCTTGGATTTTGCTGACGTCATTACGGACGTTGCTTATGCTGGCAGCATGTCCTTCGGAGGCGTGGATCTGTGCTCGCATGGGAACACCAGTGCTCTGTGGATTCATTGGTGGCACCACAGTGCGTTTCACTTCTTGGGCATTCCATGTATTTCATTGGACACATTGTCACTGCTTGCACTGATCTTGTCTCTCTTTCAAACAGTGATCCCACTTGCGACAATGCTTCGCAAGGGATTTCCTGACAAACCTGTGAAGTATGAACGAGGAGATGATGGGCATGCACACTCGTGCATCACTGGTGGTGAGCTGTACAATGATGATGTCTTTTTTGCTTTGGGAGAAGCTGCCGGACTTGAATCACTTAAGCAGATGGCCTTCAAGGTCAAGGTTTGCAACATCGAGCGCCTAGTGAACATGAAAAAGGAGTGGAGGATTATGGGCTATGCAGAGCCCCTGAGCAAGCATTTTGCGGAAAGGTTCTTTCTGTCCTACCTTCTGGAGAACGGCATCCAGCTCAATCTGCAGTCATGGGTCTTGGTCATCAACAAAGTTCAGGCCCCATCCATGCCAATGATGCCCATCCTGTCCGTGGCGCTCAGTTTCTTCATGATCGTTTTGAAGTTGCTGGAGGTAAGAAAGTTCATCTCAATTTGGCACCACATTGAAGAAATTGCCAGTGGGGCATCGGTGCCAGAAGAGGAGCGGTCAAAGTTTGAAGCCAAATTACTATTGTTCCGAAGGCGAGGAGTTGCCGTTGTTTCTGCGACCATTCTTTTGTTCCTGGCTCTATGCGGAGCCTGTGTGACCTTGAGTGGCATCGGGAGGTGCCCAGGTGAAATCCACACCTGGCATGGTTGCCTTCACATTAAAGTCGACATACCCGCCAATAGCAGTTGAAAGTATGGTTCAGCAGTCGCCAAAGAGTGTCATTCCTGCAAAGCCAGATGGACGCGCGGTTGCTCGAGGAGAAAATCCCGCAACTGCGGGTTTTCCTTTACGTGGTCGCGCACTGCTCCCCACAATGTTCTTCAAGGTATGCCAATTTTACTTTGTTCTAGAGCACTGAACTTGAAATCGACGTGCTCAAGCTTCAGGTGCCAGCCGAAGTAAACGTTTACATCATGTACCATAAGATGTGGAAAAGGTATGGGTTCCTGTTCGGTTACCATGATCTACAGATATCTACAGTCATGGTTGGTTTCCCGCAAACGTTTAGGTCAAAAATATGGTGGGGATATGGCAACACGAACTGCCTTCTTCTCATCTCATCGAGGTATTCAAAGAGAGCTGGTTGGCGGTTTCACATGTCGTAAGTTCAGTAAACCATAATTAGCATTAATGAACTATATAATGCTTTAGAATCATCATTAACTACTTGGATATACCCTCTGGTAATTCGTTACATAGCTATTGAAAATGGCCCAGTCGAAAGAGTGGATTTACCCATTAAAAATGGTGGATCGTTCCATAGTTTTTGTATCTTTACCAGAGGGTAATCTATATAGTCCCCATTTTCACCCAATAGCTAGTGGAATTATCAACGAACCTCGCTCAAAAATGGAGTTTCCACCGTTGTTCCAGGAGCAGCTCGTCTCCGACTTCATAGGCGGCGAAACTGGACGATCAATGGAATGGTGGTGAAAAGAAGAGGATTTCAGCATCTAAACATGGGAAAAACTAACATGGATAGAACTTAGATTAGATGGATAGATGGTGATAGATGGTTATACGGTTCTAATGAGTAACTGGATCAAACTGACATTAGCTTCTGTGAAAAATATTGAAAAATTCTCTTGAAATGGTGAATTCTAAGTCGGCTACAATTCGACTTAAATTTGACATTCAGAAGGGATACCAAGTCTCAACATTCGTTGGATAGCTCCCGCGCCAGGGGAACAGCCCAATGGCTGACCTTCCAGTGGCCAACCCCCCTGCCAAGATGGAAAAAGCAGAACTCATGGATCTACCTTCGTAAACATTAACGGTTTGCTATGGAACATGACTGGTTGGTGGTTTGGAACATTAATTTTATGACTTTCCATAATTATATTGGGAATGTCATCATCCCAACTGACTTTCACTCCATCATTGTTCAGAGGGGTAGGCTCAACCACCAACCAGTTATCTTGAAACAGGATTGCAATCAGCGTCGCAGGGGCCATGCTGCAGCTGAATCTGTCGCTGCCTCCGGATCCCAAGGCATCCAGGGAATGGGATGGTCGCGATGGCCGGACCTGGTCATACATTGGGGTCAGCTTCCAAAAGCTGATACGACCTGGGTATCTGGGTAATATTGAAGTGTTATTCATCATTGCAAGGTCATCATTCACCAATATCACATGACCAATTTTTGTTGGGGCTAATATATCATTAACAAATTAACCATCATACAGAATACGGAATGATGTTGGGATGACCACACTTCGGGGTGTGCTTTGTTAAAGAGAGAACTTTTTTTGTGGACGTACGTCTCACAATCAAAAAGAGGCTCCATATCTTATCATATCTTAACGTCTGGTGGCTTATGGAGATTTTAAGGTCCTAGGGTTATACCCATTCATTTTCCCATTCATATCCCTAACTTCACCTCCAAGTCGCACATGGCTTTCCCTTTCTGTGAACCATGGCACGTATGATAAAGGACCGACACAGTTGCGAGCCGTTGACCTGCCTGAACCAGACCTCTTGGTTCCTTCACAGAGCCTGTTGTTCAATAGGAAAATCAGGAAGTTGGATGTTGGATTTGGATGATTTGGATGATTTTTTTGGGTGGAAACTTGTCCAACATGTCTATGTTGCTCACTTTTGCATAAGCTGGATGCGAAATGTGCTAGAATGTTCCGTACTTACAGGTTGTTTTGTGGCGTCCCTACGTGTGGGTATGGCTTAAGACAAAAAAAACAACTCCCCTGTTTCGGGCCCATTTGCGACGCATTTCGGAGCCATAGAAGCATCTTCTGCGATGTAATTGGGGGATGGATGGACGGTCATCCATTCATTTTCACAGGGATCTAATGTGGTTAAAACAATAATAAACCACCCATGACTGGGAATGGCAAACATACCATCCATTTAACTATGGATATTTTGGGGATGCCCAGGTTATAATTGTTATATTATTTATTGTTTCATAATTGGTCATTGGTGGACAATGATATATAATAATAATCATCATCATCAACATAATAAGAACCATAATAATAATAATCATAAAAATAATAATACCATATAATACCAATGATAACAATAATATGTTTAATAATATATAGTTAATATAACAATTATATTATATAACCACATTTATGGTTATTATTGTTTTACCCACATACCCATTCAGTGACTGGATCGAGCCATCGCCAGTCACAGCTCGCAGGCCAAGTTCGCCCCTGCGTCACTGGAAGACTCCGCCAAGGATGTGATCTTAGGCGCTGATGACGGAAGTTCAATGGGATTTCAATGAATGAAGGTTTCTAGCTGGGAAAATCATCTATTTCTATGAGCCATCTATACCATGGCTATGTTAAATAACCAGAGGGTACATGAACATACACAAGAAAAACATAGAACCTGGTTGGTGGTTTGGAACCATGGAATTTTGAATGACTTTCCATGAAGAGTTGGGAATAATCATCATCCCAACTGACTTTAACTCCATGATTTTTCAGAGGGGTAGGTATACCACCAACCAGTATATCATATTATATCCTATTATATTCTACCAGAATCCCGTGTATATATATATATATCCTATTATATTGTATACTATAATCCCATATATATATACATATATATATATATCCTATTATATTATATATATATACTATAATCCCATATATATCCTATTATATTCTACTATAATCCCCTGATATTCCAATGGTCACCGTGGTTTCCTGCTTCTGAGTTCGCAGCGGCGCAGGCTGGGACGCTTCCATGGAGCCAGGTGGGGGTCCGGGATCTGCTGAGTAAAGACCATTGGTAATTCGTTGGAAAATCATGGGAAATACATGAACATACTGGTTGGTGGTTTGGATGAATATGATGGTTAATGATGGTTAATGATGGTTAATGATGATTAATAATGCTTACTAATGGTTAATGATAATGACTATCTGGTTGGTGGTTTTCCGTCCATGTGATCCGACATGGTGAAAATATGAACATTAAAAAATTAAACATCTTTGCACATCTTTGCACATCTTTAACTGGTTGGTGGCTTGGAACATGAATTTCATTTTTCCATATATTGGGAATAATCATCATCCCAACTGACTTTAACTCCATGATTTTTCAGAGGGGTTGGTATACCACCAACCAGGAACACATGGGAGTTTGTTGATCACATGGAATGACGGAATAAACCTAACCTTTCGTTCTCACCTATTGGTTCCAAAGACATATATATATATTATTGTATTATATATTTTGGGATGACAGATTGAAGTGTGTTGGTTCCCCTGGGCCTGGGTCCAGAGGTGGCCAGGCCAGGCCTTTTTTTGGTGACAATTTGACATAGCTAGGGAACATGCCCCAGGAATAGTTCGACAATTTAGATGTGAAAAAAAGCAGAACATCTATTCTTAAATCAGGTGATTTGCCATACTTAAGTGTTAAATTATTTCTCAGGGTAAACCGGTGCCATAAATCATCCTACAAAATCCCATTGATCAAGATCATTCCACGATTTTTTGTTCCCTTTCAATCCCCAATTTTGATGGTAAATCCCTTAGATCAACCCCCGTTCGCCATAGGCACTAAATCGAGTTCCAGCACAATTTCGGAGGCTCGGGACCCTGAAGAACGGGGGGTCTCAACATCCAGGTGCTCAACAAAAAAATGGTGAAACAAAAATAGTGACATATAGGGGTTTCCATAAATGGGGGATAAATGGATGGTTTATCATGGACAATCTTATAATCGATGATTTGGAGGTACCCCCCATGTCCGGAAACCCCCAAATAGTGGAAGATGAGTGGGAAAATGATGACTGGAATATACTGGTTGATAGCAATCAAACGTGGAAAGCTATAGCAAATCCCCAAAGTCAAATTGGAGGTTTATATGGTAGTTTGAAATTCTGGGCATTTCAACCTCCATTTGAGTATATCGTAGTGGACATAACATCATATACCCTCTGGTAATTCAACATCGCTATTGAAAACGGCACAGTCGAAATAGTTGATTGTCCCATTAATAGCATGGTGGATCTTTCCAGTTCGTTCTTCTATGGTTTACCAGAGGGTAATCCATCTTTTTAACCAACAAAGATCTTAACAAATGGTGGATATTCCCGATATTCCCCAGAGATCCACCTTACATGGTGGATATCCCAGTGCCATGGATCAAATTCACGGGGGTTCCTGGGGTCCCTCCTCGGGTCCCGACACTGTCGCGCGCCAGGTTCCACGGGTCTTGTCTCAAAGCTCCGAATGCCTGCGCTGGAACGCCGCCTTGGCCACTCGGACTTTGGCGAGTGGCCTGGAAATCCAGGGGAGCCTTTGGTAACCTTTGGGAAATTTGGAAATGCGGAGTTTCCGAAATTCCCATTAAACATATTGTGATTTTAGATATCATATTTAAAAATTGTGATTATATATATATATATATATGTCTATATATATATAATATACCCTCTGGTAAACCAACAGTTTGCGAACTGGAAGATCCACCATGTTTAAGAACGGTAAATCAACTATTTAGACTGGGCCATGTTCAATAGCTATTAAACATTATTAAACCATATCATGTCCAATTTTGTTGCTTTAAATCCCCACCATAATGTTGGTTTAAATTCTGTGGAATGGGATCCATTCTTATCCAAAATCCCGTTTTATCGCAAGATTATCCCATGATTATCCCATGATTCCATCTGGAGTCCGTTCAGCCTGGGGATACCAAAAAAAAGAATGGAGGTGTCGAGTCTCGCTGGGAAAATCAACTAGAACGATAGCTGGGTGAATTTCTAGCCACGCTTG